GGGGTGGGGGGGGGGTCATCATAAGTAGAAAACAATAACACCTTGACCTTGACAACAATAACCTACATCAATTCATTTCCTTCCCCCCACTTTCCAAATTTTGCATTATATAACACATTGGCTCCCAATCTTTATATTTTATACTGTGGTAATGATGAATAAATATCTCCTTTTAATTCCGATTCTCGCACCTTTCTCGTTTCTTACGGAACCCAACTCAGCCATTTAATCAAGATGAAATATCAAGTCAGACCAAATGTTGCTAAAACATTTCAGAGAAATATTAAAATGGAAATGAAGGGATGATTGGTGGATTAGTCATGGTGACAACAGCTGGTGTTGCGTGTGAAGTGATCAACAGTTGATATACGTAAGCTGGTCCTCAGTCAGCAGGCCAACTGTACTTAAAACATATCATACATGTACCGGTGTGGCTGATTATAAGGCCCTACTTGCTTTTTTATCATTTTTACTTTGTCACTGGATCTTGTTAAACACAGTCCGATACTGATCCGAAAGTGATGCTGGAATTCACTATCCGACAATTTGAGACTGCTCAACAAAAACTTGTGTTTTAGGCCCATCTTCTTATGCCAGAGACCCCTAAGCACACACAAACAGTACTTCAGGTCAAACAAGTTCAATAGTGTCTTACTAGACTTTAAACTTTTCAGTAATATGGTATTGACTATGGAGGCGCAGTCTTTCGGCTATCTTTGTTTGTTCTTGGTTTGTTCTAGAAGTAAGGGTGTCAATTAACAGGAACAAACAAGAACGTGTTCTGGATTGAGTGTGAAAATAACTTCTCGTTCTTGCCCAAAAGACACCCAAAGTTAAAGAGCTACAAAATAAGTGACAACGCTCAGTTTAACCGAATTAAGTGGTACCTGTTCACCTCATTGTTTGACATGCACACTAAAACACTAATATTGAGACACGGTAGTCTAGTTGTAGCACGCCGGGCTCGTGACCGAAGGGTTGCGAGCTCGAGTAAAGTCACGGCACTGTGTTGTATCCTTGAGCAAGATACTTTAGTGTCTACTCAGCTGTAAATGAGTACGTATTTGGGCAGTGCTAGACGTGTTGAATGCTAGCTGTGCATGAGCGCTGAAATGGCAGCACTGGCTGTATGTTCCCCTGGGAACCGCTTTGAGACGACCTACGAACTAGGTTGTGATAAAGCGGTATATAAGAACCTCAAATAATAATTATTATTATTATTAAAACTGAGCTATGCTTAAAAGCAATATTATATGTTAACAAGGACAGCTTAAGTAACATCAGAAGATAAGTAACTCATTTGATGTATTTCTAATACACCTGTATAGCAAATGTTAGTTTCATAAGTAAAATTTGAGCTATAGAAATTTAATGTCTACAATCAACAGTGTGTCACATACAGTATGATAATGTGCTAATTCTCATTCAATGAAAAGCCTCCTAAATTGTACATGTCTTTCAAGATAAGAAATAAAAGAAGTGACATCAGAACATATGTTGTTTATGTGATTATATTAACCCTTTCATCCCTATGTAACTTTAGTAAACTTTTCCATGCATTGATCTGGACAAGTCCATTATGGTCTGCAGTGGTTTCATTCCACAAAAATTTGAATATTGCATCTTATACAAATTTCAAAAGGAATTGGGCAACAGGCGTAATGCCTATACAAGCACTCTCCTACGGAATGGACAATGTATATTATAATATATATATTGTGAAATAATTTTAAAAGTTTTTTTTACATCTAGGACAGAAGTCATAGACCAGAGTCTGCAGTGGTAAAAGGGTTAACCACACTGTGCCATTACATACATATAATAATAACCCTACCGAGTTTAGATGTATTCATATCAGCTTTGAATGCAATGGGCCATGTATGGGTTGATCACCTCATTATAATGCGTCAAAATGGTAACATCTGATACCAGACCCTCTCCCTAAATGATGTCAGTTCTATTGATTAAACAAGCATACACAATACATAACCTTATTTAAACTTAATGATTATTTTGTTAAATATATTTGATGATCTACGAGATAAAAATACAAGGTATTTTAAAAATAGTTAATATAGGTTTTAAAAATAGTAAATATAAGTGATGAACAGCTCTCAGTTGGCAATCATGTATCTAAATCCACCAAAACTATTTAAATGTTATCTGCCAAATCTGTAAGCAAGTTATCAAAAATCAAAATGTAAATAGAGTTTTATATTTATGTGGATCTTCATGTCTAACTAGATAATCTTTACTGTCCTAGTAAAATCTGATATATATCTTTAAACATAGCATGTAAAAGTATATTTGTATAAAAACATCTATATTTGATATACTATAGTCACACAAAAATATACATTGTACTCTAGGAAGAACCACGCCCATATGGTCGGGTAATTGACATGCTCTTGTCAATTTTAGATGTGTACATGTTTATTGTTAATAAAGATTGAAATTAAGATTTAATTAAACTTAATAAAAGAAGTATACATATGTATTAAAACTTATTTTGATTTTGTTTTGGTGAAACTTCACAAGTTTTACATAGGGTAAGAAAACACTGTTACTTTTAAAACCAGATCCTAAGGTCACTGACCTTGTTTCTCCATCAGTTTCAGCAGAACCATTGATTGATTGATTGATCGATTGATAGGTTTAACATCCACTTCACTACCAAACTAATTGAGTAGTTCGGTTATCCAGCAGACAAGACCAGCAGAGCTGAAATGCAATACTTATATAGCATGCTAAAAATAGCCATACAGTCATAAAGCACTTGACCTCATCACCATCTCCTAATGGTCAGCTTCCGCTCATATAAACAATATGTTAAATAGGTGTTTTACCTTAAAATTAAATGATACATAAGCAAGAGGCCCAATGGGCCTGCATCGCTCATCTTGTATTAATCTCACACTTGTAACTTTAAAAGTGATCCAAGATAAAGCTAAAGGCAAAATATCAGTATTTATGACTATAAGTCATTCAAAAGAACTTGTTAGAAGATTTTAAAACATTTGACCCCTGTGACCTTGAAAGCCAAACAAGGTCATTACATTGAACAAAGTTTACAGCCCTTTATCTCAGCATACAACTTGCCAAATATAACCACCCTAGTCCTTTTGTTTATTGAGATTAGGTCATAAAAAGGTTTATATATATTTGACCAAATGTGACCTTGAAAGTGGGTCAAGGTCATTCAAACGACTTGATAGCTCTTCATTCAAGCATGCTACTGGCCAAATATCAACATTCTGGGCCTCTTGGCTATTCAGAAGAAGTCGTTTCAGGTTGTAAACAAATTTGAACCCTGTGACCTTGAATATAAGTCAAGGTCATTCATTTTAACAAACTTGGTAGCTCTTTATCCAATCAAGTTACTGGCCAGATATCAACATTCTAGGCCTTATGTTTATTCAGATGAAGTTTTTAAAGATTTAAACATATTTGACACCTGTGACCTTGAATATAAGTTAAGGTCATTCATTTTTAACAAACTTCGTAGCCCTTTATCATAGCATGCTACTGGCCAAATATCATCATCCTGGGCCTTTTGGTTATTCAGAAGAAATTGTTTAAAGATTTTGAACATATTTGATCCCTGTGACCAGATATCAACATTCTATGAGTTGTTTAAAGTTTTTTTAAGACAATTGACCCCTGTGAGCTTAAATACAGGTGATGGTCATTTATTTGAACAAACTTGGTAGCTGTTCATCAGAGTTTGCTGCTGGCCAAATATCATCACCCTAGGGCTTTTGGTTATTAAGAAGAAGTTGTTTACAAGAGCTCACCTGTTTCTTTTGTTATATGAAATTGACATATAGGTACTTCAGATCAAATTTGGTAACTGGAACACAACACATTTTCACATCTCTTTATTGAAATTAATTTTTAAAGCTTTTAACCCATGTTGACCTTGGACTCTGGCTAGCACTTAAAGTTGACCTTTGATCTCATTACTGTAATAAAGAAAACAATTAACACTGCTGGTCTACATTACATACCCAAATATCATGACTCTAGTCCAAATGGTTCTTAGGATGTTCTTGTGATGTGTGGTTGCATATCCTCTTTAACTTCCTTTAAAGCATCAAACTTCCTTATGCAGTGATAACACCGGACTCGTCATGTGAATTCAGTTATCAATGTGAACTGACTCACAATTCACACGCTTACACACACGCTTACGTAGTTTAGCCAAATCAAAGGCAATTTTTATTGCCAACTCTTACATATTTGCACATTTTTGTACATACGCTTCACTGGTCATCTGTCTAAAGAAGATGATAGTGTACATATCGTGCTTAAAAGTCATCAAATCGCCACACGTAAACCCTTGCTTGATTCTGCGGCATGAACCTTTCTGAAATCCGTACTTATATGTACACTTACCAACTCAAAGAAAATATTTAAAAACTAATTGGTGCATTTTTCATGACAACAGCAATGAAACAGCCCTTTTTAAGGTCTCGCTGACGTGACCCTGCAGAGGTCACATTCTTATTCTTTATTTATACAAATTCCGATTCTCCTCTTCCCAACATATTCTTTACAACATTCGTGTGACAGCGGTCACTCCTGACTTTCAGTACTTTGATATTTAGTTGAAAGATCAGGGGGTAAGAGAAAAGAAGTTCCGTAAAGTCGGCATATCCAGTGAATCCTCCTTACAAAATTTACATGCAAGAAAGATGGATCCCTGAAGAAATTTTCAAACGTAAAAATTTGATGGAACCCGAGTTTCATCATGCTTATCCTGTCACTTAAAAAGAAAAACATAGAAATCAAAATGGGATAATTTTATGACAAAAACTAGTAAAACTGTATAGTTTGCATTTAAATGACATCAAACTTGTTTTTTTTTTTATATATCATTGGAAAGGTTATTAAAAATGCCATTTAACAGTGGAAGCAGATTTTCATTTTGTTATGTGTGTTTTCGAAATATGTTGCATGAATGGAACATGGGATCTTGAGTGTCCTGAAAATCAATGTAGGGGGCGCTGCAGTCACAAATTTGTTCTATTTGAGGAATGAATATTGTTTTGATACATTTGTATGTATTTCATGCCAATTAATAAATTTATGCTAAAAAATATGAAACCGGTCGTGGGCCACCATGCAACACCTCCTTTAGAGACCAGGAGGAACTGAGTTACTTACGGAAATCTACACAAAAAAATCAGAAATCTTTGTAAAAGACTTTTTGAAAACATCCAATAAAGGACATCAACTGTCGAAATCCAAGAGATCTTGCTTTTTCTGATCAGCCTAAAAATGAAACAACTAAAGGCTGAGGGAAACCAAGATATGTAATTTGAGAAAGATTTGTTCAATAACAAACTTGAGCTGTCAAAACTTAAGCATGGACAACTAAATACCAAGATAAACTTTCATATGGAATCTGAGAAAGATCTGTCATTAAGTTCTTCTTGAGAAATACCAATAATAAACTTGAACAGTCAAAATCAAAGATTTTGGCAGCCATCTTGTTTTTTTCAATGAGTCTCAAAATGAAACATACAAAACTACAGACCAAAGGTAATATAGATATATAATTTGAAATTAGATTTGTCCAGTACATATCAGTACATGTACTTCTTGAGAAATATTGATAACTATAAAATGTCTGTAGGACATAAATGCCCCCACTCATGGACTGGACGGGACGGGACGGACATGGGCAACACTATATGCCCCCCATTTTATGGCAGGGCATTACAATAATTGTTTTATGATAAAGGACAGATTGGACGATGGACCGCAAAGGGGGATTTGAACACCCCACCATCTGATGATGAAGGGCTTAATCAAATTTAATATGTTGCCCGTTATATGTATTTTTGAGATTACGTGTGTGATGCAGGAGTCCCTTATCACATTTAAGCATGACCTAGTTTCAGAGCATGTGTAAAACAGGATGGGCACCATTCCAATTTTTTAAAAGGTGCTTTGTCACTGTTGCATTTTCAGTCGGTTGATCTGGAAAAAACTTAAGGTAATAGGATTGTGTCGCCATTTCTCAGTGGAATTTATTCAAATTTTATAGTTATATTGCTCTGAAGCAAAAACAATTTTCTGCCACAAAAAAAATATAGGTTGTCAGAATTTTAAGGATTTTAAATGGAAATTTATGTAAAAAGGAGTGAATTTTGAAAAAAATATATTGAAACACACAATTTTTTGCAAAATAATGTCAATAAAAATGATACTTACATAGATAAATATTGCATTAATGTGTATCAATTTCATAAATGCTGAAATTGTGTAAAATTAATTATCTATAAACGATTAAAAATTGAAATTTTATAATACACCCATATAACACATAGTAATTGCATGCAAGAGTTATCGTTCTTGAAAAACTTCACAGTAGTGAAATAGGTAGCCGGTTTCCTGAAGTACAAAAAAATGGACACATGTGACTCATTGATTAAAAAACAACTGAATTAATGCCTGGATTGCTTTGCAATACTTTAATATTGAAAGAACACACTATTCTGTCAATAATAAGCATACAATATTCATCACTTTAATATTAAACATTAGATTATGCGGAAATTGTGATACTGTCTCCCTACATTGGATTTTCAACTAGGGATGTACTTCCTATTTCCGTTTAGCAATACACTCCTATGACCCTAAGGAACCCTGTCCCACTGTTATCTAGCTTTAATTTAACCTACCCTTTATTTTATTTCCAATATAACATTAGTACATTTTGGGGTCACGGTGGCCAAGTGGTTAAGGCGTCCGACAGTCTGCTACATGTTCCACTAGCCCTCCACCTCTGGGTCGCGGGTTTCGAGGCCTACTTTGGGCAGTTGCCAGGTACTGGCCATTGGTCGGTGATTTTTCTCTGAGAACTCCTGCTTTTCTCCACCACCAAAACCTGGCACTTCCTTAAATAACCATATCTGTTAAAAGGACGTAAAACACAAACAAACTAAAACATTTGGGCCAGGGTACTAATCTGTGAAGCAGGTAGCTCAGTTGTTAGAGAGAAACTATAACAATCTTAGGTCCAAGGTTCAAATAAAAATAACACTGTTATGAGGTCACAGCTATATGTAACACTGTTATGAGGTCACAGCTATATGTAACACTGTTATGACGTCACTGCTATATGTAACACTGTTATGACCACACTGCTATATGTAACACTGTTATGATGTCACTGCTATATGTAACACTGTTATGAGGTCACTGCTATATGTAACACTGTTATAAAGTCACTGCTATATATGTAACACTGTTATGATGTCACTTCTATATGTAACACTGTTACGAGGTCACTGCTATATGTAACACTGTTACGAGACCACTGCTATATGTAACACTGTTACGAGGCCACTGCTATATGTAACACTGTTACAAGGCCACTGCTATATGTAACACTGTTACGAGGCCACTGCTATATGTAACACTGTTACGAGACCACTGCTATATGTAACACTGTTACGAGGCCACTGCTATATGTAACACTGTTACAAGGCCACTGCTATATGTAACACTGTTACGAGGCCACTGCTATATGTAACACTGTTACAAGGCCACTGCTATATGTAACACTGTTACGAGGCCACTGCTATATGTAACACTGTTACGAGACCACTGCTATATGTAACACTGTTATGAGGTCACTTCTATCATGTTACACTGTTATGAGGTCACTGCTATATGTAACACTGTTACAAATTCACTGCTATCATGTAACACTGCTATGACGTCACTGATATATGTAACACTGTTATGATGTCACTGCTATCATGTAACACTGTTATAAGGCCACTGCTATATGTAACACTGTTATGAGGTCACTTCTATCATGTTACACTGTTATGAGGTCACTGCTATATGTAACACTGTTATGACGTCACTGCAATATGTAACACTGTTATGAGGTCACTGCTATATGTAACACTGTTACGAATTCACTGCTATCATGTAACACTGCTATGATGTCACTGATATATGTAACACTGTTATGAGGTCACTGCTATCATGTTACACTGTTATGAGGTCACTGCTATATGTAACACTGTTACAAATTCACTGCTATCATGTAACACTGCTATGACGTCACTGATATATGTAACACTGTTATGATGTCACTGCTATCATGTAACACTGTTATGAGGCCACTGCTATATGTAACACTGTTATGAGGCCACTGCTATATGTAACACTGTTATGAGGCCACTGCTATATGTAACACTGTTATGAGGCCACTGCTATATGTAACACTGTTATGAGGTCACTTCTATCATGTTACACTGTTATGAGGTCACTGCTATATGTAACACTGTTATGAGGGCACTGCTATATGTAACACTGTTATTAGGTCACTGCTATATGTAACACTGTTATGAGGTCACTGCTAACATGTTACACTGTTATGAGGTCACTGCTATATGTAACACTGTTATTAGGTCACTGCTATATGTAACACTGTTATGAGGTCACTGCTATATATACCACTGTTATGAGGTCACTGCTATATGTAACACTGTTACAAATTCACTGCTATCATGTAACACTGCTATGACGTCCCTGATATATGTAACACTGTTATGATGTCACTGCTATCATGTAACACTGTTATAAGGCCACTGCTATATGTAACACTGTTATGAGGTCACTGCTATATGTAACACTGTTATGACCACACTGCTATATGTAACACTGTTATGACGTCACAATTAAAGCTACTATACGATCCATTGTCTCATGGTGATCCAGTCAAGGTAGAAAATAAGAGATTGTGACGTATTTCAGTATGATAATGAAAAACAATTATTCCGTTACATAACACATTGTTTTAATAATGTCCTGCTCCATCTTTACCTTTTGGGATTGTCTATATAAAGATGGTTATCTTCAGTAAAGTTCAGTGGAAATCCACCAGCTTCTATGGCTGATACAACGTCATTGGATGTCATATTTCAATCACAACAATATCATTAGATGTCAAGAAAGATTTTGGTCTTTCTTACAATTACTTGTTTCTCACAAGGTACAATTACAACAATATCATGGGAAATGACCTGAAAGATTTCTCTTCCTTACAACACCATCTAACTGCCTTCTTACCCTCAGTATTTCTGTCTTGGACATAGATGGATGAGACAAATATATGTATTTTATTTATTGTGGAAACCTTTTGGAAAGAAGATAAATATCACAGCATGTTAAGGAAAGATTTTTAATCTTGTAACTTAAAGAAATAGCATGTTAAACTTTTTTTATCTTTCTTCCAAAAAATCATCATGTACATCGGGCACTTGAATTGGTGAATTACTACGTATTCACTTGAATTAGTAGATTACTATGTATTCACTTGGATTTGTGAATTAAAATATATTCATATGAATTTGTGAATTACTTTTTGAAATATGTATTCACAAAATCCAATGTTAAAATTAGTGAATATTTGGTAGGCGGGTGAAACACAAATATTTGGTAGACTAGTAACTAAAAATCAACATTAAATATGTATATCTCTTGTGATCCATGAAGCGTTAATTACAGCACCCAATGTGAATCACATGTGGACTGTCATCAAGGCATTAAAACAAGGCTATAGTAAGCTATATTGCAATACCAATATAATAGGTTTAGGAAATGTCCTCAAATCAGTTGAACTTTATATCACTTGTCCTTGACCTCTATTTGTCCTTGACCACTATCTCACAGCTGCCATTGATATCGACAATCTCCTTCGAGTCAAAGCTGGCAACAAGTGTTCTGATGCCAGGTTTGGCAGCGGTCATTTCCATTTCATATGTGAAGGTCTTCTTAGCTTCAACGGAGCTGTAATTAGGGAAATATATATTTACAATGAGGTAATCTTTGACCCCTGTAATTAGGGAAATATATATTTACAATGAGGTGAACTTTGACCCCTGTAATTAGGGAAATATATATCTACAATGAGGTAAACCCTGACCCCTGTAGTTAAGGGAACATCTATTTACAATGAGGTGAACTTTGACCCCTGTAATTAGGGAAATATATATTTACAATGAGGTATACTTTGACCCCTGTAATTAGGGAAATATATATTTACAATGAGGTAAACTTTGACCCCTGTAATTAGGGAAATATATATTTACAATGAGGTGAACTTTGACCCCTGTAACTAGGAAAATATACATTTACAATGAGGTGAACTTTGACCCCTGTAGTTAAGGGAACATATATATTTACAATGAGGTGAACTTTGACCCCTGTAATTAGGGAAATATATATTTACAATGTGATAAACTTTGACCCCAGACAGCTGTTAGGGAGATACATATTTATTATGAGGAGTATAGTAAACTTTTTTTTATATGATTCTTGTTATTTTCTGGGAAAAAAAATCAATATTACAAAATTTCCTATAGTATAATAAACTTTGACCCCCTTCCCTACATAACTCCTAAGTAGTACAAATGAAATGTTCAGTGAAAAATGACCAGTCTCCACAGTTGGACTTTTTTTTTTTGATAATTCAGTATGATATTTGCCGTCCTGAAATTCTTTCAAAAACTCTTTATTTTCAAATGTACAATCTCTTCTTACTACCTTAGTATTGGTGATCATAAATCTAATATTTTGTATACTAAGCTTAGACATTGATGTAGTTCTCTAAGATATGATACATACAGGATTAACCTTGTTCATAGTCCAGTCTGCAAGTTTGTGAGAAAGCTTATCACCTTTTTTTCCGAGTCTCAACTTTTCACCAACAAAGTCTGTTCCAGAGTTTGAATGTGTTAAATATTGACTTTAATTTGGAACATATCTTGTTTGGCAGTTGTCAGTTTTCATTGGACATTCACTTACAAGTTTTTACACACGTGTATAACTTCTTAAAATTCAGCGATCTATTTCAATTGTGGATGGGTGTATCTCAAAGTTAGAACAATTACATATCTGACATTATAGTCGTGTATACTATACTTGCTAGTGATATACTTATATCAACTAGGTTTGACTGATCCACCCTCACCATCCCCTACCCTAATTATGTCCTACTTTCCACCTCCCTACCTTCCAGTCACCATCCCCTACCCTAATTATGTCCAACTTTCCACCTCTCTACCTTCCAATTACCATCCTCTATCAGTTGTACAAAATAGTTACCTTATCAAAGAATATTGATTTATAAAATATATGCAAATATAGATGCTGTTTATGGAGAGGACTATTATAAGTTGTAAAACTTGTTGTCGGAAGCTTTTGAATATTTTGATCAATAAAATATGTTTAAACTAAAAAAATGACCACTGGGTACATAATGACGAGCTGTATAGAGCAAACTTCAACTTAAAAACTATAAAATTTACAAATAAATTGTACAACACATACACATAGCATACAATTACAATAGATATGTAATAAGAATAGGAGCTTTATGGAGAGTCTACCTCTGTTTGATGTTTTTTGGTTTCTGCAGTCCTGGTCCGTCGAACTCCAAACTACAAATAGTCAGGAGGATTGGCAGAGGATTCTTGAATGTCACCTTCACCTTGAACGCTTCACCCACTTTGACCTCCGCAGGGGCCTACACGACATCATAATACATTGTTTACTAAGAAAAAAATACTTAACTTTCATGTCCTGTTCCGACAATCAAACGTATTAATTTTTCAGCTAGTCATATTTTAGATTATTTTACTCACCACATCACATTACTCCATAACCGTTTCTTTTTCTTTAATGACCATAATTGCTAGCTGTATGTTTTATACCAGTGGTTGATTAACAGTCAGAAACACATACATTTCAGCTTGATTATCTTGTTAATTTCATTACCAACAAAAGCAATGGTGTCATATATATTACGACTAGACTCACATATACCTTCTGAGAATTAATGCTAACAGACTTTGATTATCAAAATTAAAAATAGCCACCTGTTGGCCATCTCAGTTTTCAGATCAGTCCCAAAATTAGGTGTGCATAACTATAAGGACCATGGGGGACCTTCTTGTAAAATTTGAGAAAGATTTCTGAGAAACGGCGCTAACAAACTTTAACTCTCAGAATTCAAGATGGCCACCTGCTGTCCATCTTGGTTTGGTTATACGATCAGTCCCAGAATTTGATATGCATAACTTGGGATAATGTTGAAACTTTAAGTAAAATTTTAGAAAGATCTTTTCAGTATTCTCTGAGAAATAGAACTAACAAATTTAAACTCTCAAAATTCAAGATGGCTGCCTTTTGGCCATCTTGGTTTTACGATCAGTCCCAGAATTTGATATGTGTAACATGGGACCATAGGGAACCTTCATGCCAAGTTTGAGAAAATTACCTCCGGTAATTTCTTGGAAATAGCGTCAACAAGAATTGTCTAAGGACGGAAAAAGGTGATTTGAATGGCCCACTATCATCTGATGATGAAGGGCTTTTTATGTGATGCAAACTGGCTCATATATGTAAAGTTAGACCCTTGGCATAAACTTCAGAGTGTCATAGCTAGTTTGGAGTTTGAATGTGATTTAAATTTGTCATAATGTTTTGAGTAATTGCTGCATTCTTTCAGCAAATAGTGAATTTTACATTTTACACAGGTGAAAAGCCGAGCACAATTAACAATAACAATAAATAAATTAAAACACACCTCCGAAGTAATTTTTCATTTTAGAAAAATTAAACTTTAATATTTGGTTTTATAATATGACATTACCTGATGGTGAAATGAGATTGCTGCTTCTTATGGTACAAAATAAACCCCAATCTTATACGAACATTCAGGAATAAGTGTGAACAACACGGCAAATCAGAGGACCAAACATGTAAATGTTGACGTTTGGAATAGATTGGCCGTGTTGTTCGCACTTATTCCTGGATTTTTACTCACTACAAGAAGTGAACTCTGTATACCGATGTGGTATCCATAGTACTTAATCGACCAAGAAATTGAAGAAACTTCAGTTATCTAGGTCGTTGTGTCTCCACCCCCCTTTATGTGATTACACAAACATTGGTTAATAACCTATACAGTCTCACCTCTAACTCTAGGTCAGGTTTGATAAGTCGGAAGTCGTCGTCCAACGAAGCTGATTGATTTGTCTCCTTCACCGTACAGACACACAATGTTTTAAAGTAGCAGCCCTCAATGGTCTTCTTGTTATACTCCTCAAATTCGATATACATCTTCTTGGACACCTCTGTAGTAACATGGTTTAAGCAAGCAAAAAATGAATATTTTGTATAAATGCAACATCTCTGCACTTTATGGTAAAGAGTTATCTCCCCTGTACCACTGACTTGCACAGTGATATCAGTATGCAAGATGCTTCCAATTTTTCATTTTACTATAAATTATAATATTAATACATATAAATGCATTTCTTCGTGCATCTCTTACAGGAGAGAACTGATATAGGCATAGCCTGTTGTTCAATCCCTTTCATATACCATCTAGAATAAAGTATGTTGTAATGAAATTTACCTGCAGTGTTATTTTTCACATATCTGAACCAATATCACTTACGAATACAAGTGCTTCCTACCAAATTTGATTGTACTTTCTTGAGAAGTTGTTTAAAGTGAAGTTTACAAATCAGGGAGGACAACAGATTGTACCAGTTTAGTGGTACATCAAATTCATGTGAGCTGAGGACCTGGGCCCGTATTCATGTAACAGTTCTCATGCTCAAGCATGGATTTTGTGCTCAAACCAACTTTCTTGAAACTCTTATTAATTCATGTCAAATGATCAAAAAGTCAAATGTAAACATTGATAACAGTATTTTGTCTTAAGTCTCTTCAATTTTTTACCAAATCATTGACGAAATAAGGCTTGTTTATAAATTTAAAACGTAAACAAGAAATTGGGCTTGAGCACAAAATCCATGCTTGAGCATGAGAACGGTTTCATGAATACGGGCCGAGAATGCATGTACACATACGCTCTGCTGGGTTAAGTGTGATGTTGATCTTCTCCGACCTGACTTGATGAGCAAACACTCCTGTGGAGTAGTAACTCTGAAGACTAAATGTTCCACTGACAGTACGGTCCTCCTTGGACATATTCTCAAACACAACCTCGGCTACAAGATCATCTCCATAATTGCCTTGTTTCTTGTCTACCACCTTCACAGAGACATCCTAGAATACACAATATGTATAGGATCCTACATGAGTTTCCATTTCATATGAGATATATGAAACGAGTCTAAGAATTTTTCAATTTAGCGAGCCTCTGGCGAGCTAAAATGAAAAGTTTGTTTCATAAATTTCATATGAAATGAAAATGAGTATAAGATCCTTTTTATTACATAATCAAGTTTTGTGGCATTTATTTGTGTAAAACGACAATTTTCATGCAACCTTGAAATGTAAAACGACGCCATTTTTACTCCAGTGCGTAAGTCTGTGACGTCATGTACTTGTCCTTGGCATGAGGTCACAATTGAAACAATTGAAACTTACAACCGATCACTGTAGGGCTGATAGGTCATATTACATGGGTTAATACGCAAACAAATATGACATGGGTATATTCACTGGATAGCACAGGACGTTATGGTGTGATGCGATAGGAAGATGTTCTGTTCATAGATTTACCAACTATTTAGTACACCAGCTATCAGTGGGTGCTATCAGACTACTAGTAGAACATTTTAGGTAAAGACCTACAGTACAATATGAACTGTATTTTACAAAAATTCCAAAACTATTTTTTCAATTTATATGTATCACTCTTGCTTGCCCAGATTTTAGGGGGGTAATGCGGGAAGAAACCAGAGTACACAGAGAAAATCAGGTGACCCCATACAAGGAATCAAACCCCGGCCAACTTGGTGAATCAGGAAAGTCACTGCACCAACTGACCACCTTTCTATCCCAAAAATAGGTTTAGACCTAATTATTAGAAACCTCTTATATAGGTATACTTGACGTGTTTTCTGATTCAACAATGTCACAGCTAAACAAAAGGGATCATAGGTTTAATTTGGAATCAGTTTGGTTTATTAACTCATCCACCCCTGAAATTTCTTAATGGACTATTCCAACCTTTGAATTGGAAGAGTTCAAATGTGTCTTCAGGGGTGAATGAGTTTAACAGCAGTAGACATGTAGCCCACATACCAACCATGAATAACAGTTTCTAACAGAAAGTCATCAGAATTAACATGCTGTAGGTAATGTTTTATTATGAAGAAATACTGACATTCACCTGTTAAATGTAAGGAGCTATGATCATCGAGTGAATTTAAACACTGCTTGTATCTAACCATGATGAGAACCATCATAAGGGGAGGTAACTTTTACGACAGGATGAAATCCTCACCCTAACCAATTTCATTAGGTCAAGAACAATGGTTACTCTGTCTCTCTGTCTCTCTCTCTCTGTTTAAACTAAAATGGTCAGTGGACAGATAACAGTCAGTGTAGGACTAAGTTCTAGCCCTGACTAAAGCTAGGGCCCATGGTAAGGGGAGAGAACCTATGGACCAGGATATAATCTCTCTCTCTGTCTGTCTGTCTCTCTCTGTCCGTCTCTCTGTCTCTCTCTCTCTGTCTCTCTCTCTGTCTCTCTCTCTCTCTCTCTCTGTCTTTCTCTCTCTCTCTCTGTCTCTCTCTATGTGTTTAAACTAAAATGTTCAGTGGACAGATAACATTCAGGGTAGGACTAAGTTCTAGCCCCGACTAAAGCTAGGGCCCATGGTAAGGAGAGAGAACCTATGGACCAGGATAAAATCGTCAACAGAAACACTGACTGCATTAAAGGAAAGACTTACCTTACTTTCTTCCATAGGTTGCTCATACAGACCAGCCAAGATTCCTGCCATGTTAGCAGTCATCACTGCAGCCCTCTCTGCTCCAGTACCTTAATAACACAAAGGTTTAAGTTCATTATAAAAGTTGATTAATTCATGATAATCAGGAGTACGTACTGCATAAGGACTGATGAGATTTTCAGCTGTCGTATGGCTTTAAGAATTTTCTTCATTTTTTCATTTTGACTTTAAGACCGGAAAGTAAAGAAATTTTAAGAGTCTCATCACATCATATTCTTCACCAATTGACAAAGTAATTATCTGGGCCCGTATTCATGAAACCGTTCTCATGCTCAAGCATGGATTCTGTGCTAAAACTATGTTTCTTGTTACTCACTTCAATCATGACAAACAATCAAAAAGTCAATTGTAAACATTGAAAACAGTATTCTGCTTTAATTTTTCTCCTTTTTCCCCCCAAATTATTGACAAAGTAAGATTTTTTGAATAATTTATGACAGGAACAAGAATTTAGGCTTGAGCACAAAATCTATGCTTGAGCATGAGAACAGTTTCATGAATACGGGCCCTGATCTTTGATATCTTATTGAAGTTTTAGGGCTTTGATCATAAAAATATTGGGTGCCACAAAAACACTCAGAATAAAATATAAAAGTTTCAGTTATCAAGAGAGGGACTAATAAAAAGTGTTGAAGACAGTACTGCTTTCTATTGGCATTTGGTTAATGTCAACATATATACATAATTTAAAAGTAGAAATAGAAACACCAAACACTAAATCTGAGATGGATATTTATTCACTATCAGGTGGTTTTAACATTGACTCTTGAATGATGCATTCATTTGAGAATTTCTAATATGCTCCCTTTCTTTTCCCATATAAGTACATTTATTGTAGTAACTTCAACCCTTTCACCTGTAGACCATAATGGACTCATCCAGATCAATGCATGGTAGAGTCTACTAAAGTTTCATAGGGTTGAAAGGGTTAAGACGTCACAATTCAAAGACGTCCCCATTTATTCACTTTGCTTATAACATCATTATTTTTGATGTTTAAGTATGTGTGCTTTATAACATCATTATTTTTGATGTTTAAGTATGTGTGCTTTATTTATGACGTCACAATTCAAATAAATGTAAATTGCATGAAGACCCCCAAGACTGGCGAAAGTACTAGAGAGATTTAATTAGTCTTTGGTGTTTTTTCTATATGTGTGCAGTTACTAGTGAAAAGAAGTCATTTTGTAGATAATTTTAATTCTTAAAGTAAATTTTGTTGACAATATTGTAACTTCATGACGTTTACACATTTAGCCATGTAGATAAATGGTAAAAATCAAAGAAATAACCAACAATGACAGTCCACATTTCCTGTTGTATAGAGATTGAATGCTATATTAATATAGATGCTAGTGAATTGATATTTACAAACTTATTACATTAGTGCTATATTAATATAGATGCTAGTGTATTGATATTTACAAACTTATTACATTAATCAAGTACCTTCTGTGAATTTGTACTGGTCTGTGACGTTTTCCCAGCGTTTGTCACTGCATGGTGGCCACCTTTCGGTAGTCTGGGCAGGTAGACACTTGGGCCTCAGGGTACTGAGGTTCTGGCCGACACTGTATATAATGACAAACATTTCTGCGTCAACTAATAGATCCAAAACTGTATATCATATCAAACAGTTTCACGTCAACCATTGCACTCCAGTATAATACATATAGGTCAAATACAAAAATTATTGAAAATAATAATTTGAGGTTCTTATATACATCTGTATCACAACCTAGTTTGTAGGTCGTCTCAAAGTGTTTCACAAATTATTATTCCTGTTTTTTTTATCCTTTGCAACCATCCAATATCTTTCTCAACTCCCTGGGGAGCATACAGTCGATGCTGCAATTTCAGCGCTAACAGCTAGCGTTCAACAATTCCAGCACAGCCCAACCACGTACTCATTTACAGCTGAGTAGACTGGAACAAGCGGAGTAAAGTATCTTGCTCAAAGAAACAACACAGTGTTGTGCCTTGACTCGAACCCGCAACCTATCGGTAACGAGCCCAGCATCCTATCACTAGACTACCGTGACTCCAACAATATCACCTACAGTGGTATGGTGTGGGAAGTGTTCACAATTAAATGTTTTCATGTAAGCACAAATAATATTGAATACCTAAACAAATAAATTATTCCATACTTTAACTTAAAGTGCTTACCCAACATTATTTGTGCATCAGCAAAAATTACAATTTTGCATTACCAAAAATATTTTTCCATATGCAAAAATATTTTATATCAAAAATTGATGCAGTTATATATATAAGCAATGGACTGTGCTGATAGGGCATTTACAGACTAAATGAATAGCACAGCTTTGCAAATAAACATCATCAACAAAGTCCAATACTTAAAGGGGCTGGTCGGGGAAAAAATGTCATATTTGCTAAAATGGCATACACATGTTTAAAATACCTTCTTATGAAATATACCGATTCAAATTTTGCTGAAATTCACTCCCTAAGAGTAAAAAATATAATTATATTAAAGAAATCCAAAATTGTCACCTGACAGTCTAAAACTCTCAATTGACCCAGATCAGTGATGTAATTTTACCGCACGCGCGTCATCAACAAGGCCAAATGTAAACATCGCGGCGAAAGAAAAAGATGCATGCAAAAGTCATGACAGGCACGAGGTATTAATACCAATATATATAACAACAACATATAGGTAGGAATGCTACACTTGCATCATACATGACCTTTGAAAACAATTATTTACGTATAGTATTGCTGTCTTGTCCGCTAGTTGAATCCGACATAGCACATGACGGCGTGCTATTGTTGTTATCACTGCCTCACTTTCGAAACAACCACGTGACATATATAAATAGATCTGCACTAAATTTACGCGGGGTTTCCCCGAGATTTCAGTGGTCAAAACTGGACATTGCAAGCAGAACTCGACCAGACATATTGCCGTGGTATAACTATTGGAAGGCCAGAGAACGCATTTAGACCCATTTATTTTGTAATTTTCCCCCCGACCAGCCCCTTTAAATACCATTTTTGAGGAATTTCCATTTTCATAGAAATCAAAAAAGGCTTATTGAAATACTTCGTTATATAGTGCATGCAAAATTTATGTTTGTTCAATGAATAAAACAGGTCTCTTTCATGGAGGGTCAGTATCCAACGTTACAGTTATGACATAATAATAATGATGACGTCAACACGTGGGGCATGACATGTACTGTCTATTTGAAAGTCATATGCATTTGATTGAGATCATCCTTGAGATTCCACTGGCTGCGCTTGTGTGATGACAAAATCAAAGGCACAAGGTTAGTTATTTAATTGGGTTCAGGTATAAAAAAACTAACCAATCACTAGACTGATACCTGCATGTCCTTCAGAGATTACAGAGGAGAGAAACCCAAGTTAAACAAGAGGCCCATGGGCCTTAACGGTCACCTGAGTTATGTAAAAACTGATGTTATCGATGTTGCTAAATGAAAAAGAAATCATTTTGTAACAAAGGTAACTTGAACTACATGTAATGCAAAAGTAGTGTGAAAGATCTTTTTCTGTCTGTTCGTTCAAAAGTTTGTGTCTTTCTGTGTATTTTCTCATTTTCTAGCTGTCTGTTTCAGTTTGCCCACACTGCATTTTCTAAACTCTCATTTTTTTCTAAACAGAAATTTCAAGTTATATCTTTTAAAAAGAATTAACAAAAATGACTATCATTATTATGTATGAATTGGGTCAAAGCTGAAGTTGTGTGTGTGAAATGTTTTATTTATTTACATCACATGTGTAATATATTATAGGAATATGTTTTGCATTACCGGTATATGAAAAACCTGGATAGTAAGCAAATAAACACTTAACTTACCCGTCACAATTGACCTGCATTTTCTTGACTTGATTTTCCGAAATCTGCCAGTAAACTTTGTCTGCATTCACCTCGGCAAAGATAAAGCGTCCGTCATAAGGCACAGTGACGTCCCCTTTTTTGATGGCCAACAGAGGGCAGGGTCCACAGCAGTAAAGCCCTGTGGTGTGAAGCACTGGTCCTTATAAACAGGTTCTATCACTGTCTACATATACTTCATACAGATACTTTATTCTGTTGTTGGTTATGGTAGGTTTTTATCAAATTGTTAACTAGAATTGTCAAGGGTCGATGGTTCGACGGCACACTATCTTTATCACTATTCCTCGTCCTACTGCAGTACACAAGTTACTTTCTGTAAAAAACTATGTTTATAATGTAAACCAAATAAACCAAAATTACAAGGGAAGATAAAAATAATCAATGAGAATTATATTCTGCTGAAAACCAGTACTGTTGAGGTCATTACCGTCACTGCTCTCCTGAGGAGTGGCATCACATGCCTGCCAGCCTCCGTATTCCTGGTCTTTAAGGTCGGGACGCGCCATCCACACATCATTCCACACATGGAAGTTCCTAAGCAGAATTGTAAGCATTTTGTATGTCGTGAACCAAAATTTATAAGTGCCATTGTAATGTGTTTCGACTCTATTCCGTCTTTGTGTATTGCAGAGTTATCTTCTCTTGTGAGCAGGTATTGATTGTTACGTCATTGGTTTTTGTGAGAAAATTACATCGCTTTCTCAAAAATTGATGGCGTTACTCTCACAAACCAATGACGTAACAATCAATACTTGCTCACAAGAGAAGATAACTCTGCAATACGAAAAGATGGAATATGTCTTTCTTTACTACATACGATAGGTTTATAACTTTACAACAGGCATTGTTTCTACTCACAACTTAATGAACTAGGATAGGAAATGATTGTTATCGTCAAATTATGAATTGTACCTAGCTATATATTTGAAAATAGAAATAATGAGCAGCAACACCACTGAATCCGGTACAAAATGTAATGTTTGATTTACTTTGTACCGGATCCAGTGGTGTTGTTGCTCATCATTTCTATTTTCATTTGCTCTGCTTTTCCTGATGAGCACTGCTGAATACCATTAAGGTATCCACCCCAGGATCCCTACCGCCACTGTGGATCTGACTTCCTTGCAGGGACGTTGGGTCTCCACCCCCCCATTGTTATAAGCTATATATATAGATTGGGATATAGGAATAACCTCCCTTCCTGGTCAGGGGAGAATTGGCCTGCTGAAGTCTACTGCATAATGATATGAGGTGACTTATATGGTCCCCAGCTGAATCATGGTGGAAATATATATGATTGTATGAGGTGACTTTAATGTGGGGGTCCTCGCCTGATTTAGGGTATATGATTACATGAGGTGAGTTATGTGTGGTCCTCGCCTTAATTAGGGTATATTATTACATGAGTTGAGTTATGTGTGGTCCGGTCCTCGCCTGATTTAGGGTTTATGATTATATGAGGTGAGTTATGTGTGGTCCTCATCTGATTTAGGGTTTATGATTACATGAGTTGAGCTATGTGGGGTCCCCGCCTGATTTAGGGTATATGATTACATGAGGTGAGTTATGTGTGGTCCTTGGCTGATTTAGGGTATATAATTACATGAGGTGAGTTATGTTTAGTCCTCGCCTGATTTAGGGTATATGATTACATGAGGTGAGTTATGTGGTCCTCGCCTGATTTAGGGTATATAATTACATGAGGTGAGTTATGTTTAGTCCTCGCCTGATTTAGGGTATATGATTACATGAGTTGATTTATGTGTGGTTCTCCCCTGATTTAGGGTTTATGATTACATGACGTGAGTTATGTGTGGTCCTCATCTGATTTAGGGTATATGATTACATGAGGCGAGTTATGTGTGGTCCTCGGCTGATTTAGGGTATATGATTACTTGAGGTGAGTTATGTGTGGTCCTCGGCTGATTTAGGGGATATGATTACATGAGGGGAGTTATGTGGTCCTCGCCTGATTTAGGGTATATGATTACATGAGGTGAGTTATGTGTTGTCCTCGGCTGATTTAGGGTATATGATTACATGAGTTGATTTATGTGAGGTTCTCCCCTGATTTAGGGTTTATGATTACATGACGTGAGTTATGTGTGGTCCTCATCTGATTTAGGGTATAGGGTATATGATTACATGAGTTGATTTATGTGAGGTTCTCCCCTGATTTAGGGTTTATGATTACATGACGTGAGTTATGTGTGGTCCTCATCTGATTTAGGGTATAGGGTATATGATTACATGAGTTGATTTATGTGCGGTTCTCCCCTGATTTAGGGTTTATGATTACATGACGTGAGTTATGTGTGGTCCTCATCTGATTTAGGGTATAGGGTATATGATTACATGAGTTGATTTATGTGCGGTTCTCCCCTGATTTAGGGTTTATGATTACATGACGTGAGTTATGTGTGGTCCTCATCTGATTTAGGGTATATGATTACATGAGGCGAGTTATGTGTGGTCCTCGGCTGATTTAGGGGATATGATTACATGAGGGGAGTTATGTGGTCCTCGCCTGATTTAGGGTATATGATTACATGAGGTGAGTTATGAGTGGTCCTCGGCTGATTTAGGGTATATGATTACTTGAGGTGAGTTATGTGTGGTCCTCGGCTGATTTAGGGGATATGATTACATGAGGTGAGTTATGTGGTCCTCGCCTGATTTAGGGTATATAATTACATGAGGTGAGGTATGTTTAGTCCTCGCCTGATTTAGGGTATATGATTACATGAGGTGAGTTATGTGTGGTCCTTGGCTGATTTAGGGTATATAATTACATGAGGTGAGTTATGTGTGCATGGTCCTCAGCTGATTTAGGGTATATGATTACATGAGGTGAGGTATGTGTGGTTCTCATCTGATTTAGTGTATATGATTACATGAGTTGAGTTATGTGTGGTCCTCATTTGATTTAGGGTATATGATTACATGAGGTGAGTTATGTGGGGTCCTCGGCTGATTTAGGGTATATCATTACATGAGGTGAGTTATGTGTGGTCCTCATTTGATTTAGGGTATATGATTACATGAGTCGAGTTATGTGTGGTCCTCGTTTGATTTAGGGTATATGATTACATGAGGTGAGTTATGAGTGGTCCTCAGCTGATTTAGGGTATATGATTACGTGAGGTAAGTTATGTGTGTTCCTTGGCTGATTTAGGGTATATGATTACATGCACTGAGTTATGTGTGGTCCTTGGCTGATTTAGGGTTTATGATTATATGAGGTGAGTTATGTGTGGTCCTCAGCTGATTTAGGGAATATGATTACATGAGGTGAGGTATGTGTGGTCCTCGGCTGATTTAGGGGATATGATTACATGAGGTGAGTTATGAGTGGTCCTCAGCTGATTTAGGGTATATGATGACGTGAGGTAAGTTATGTGTGTTCCTTGGCTGATTTAGGGTGTATGATTACATGAGGTGAGTGTATATGATTACATGAGGTGAGTTATGAGTGGTCCTCGGCTGATTTAGGGTATATGATTACCTGAGTTGAGTTATGTGTGGTTCTCCCGTGATTTAAGGTATATGATTAGATACATGAGGTGAGTTATGTGGGGTCCTTGGCTGATTTAGGATATATGATTACATGAGGTGAGTTATTTGTGGTCCTTGGCTGTATTATAAGGTTTATTATTACATGAGGTGAGTTATGCAACGCTCCTGCAGAATTGGGGTTTCAGTCTGTGCTTATACATATAAGGAGGTATATGATTACATGAGGTGAGTTATTTGTGGTCCTTGGCTGTATTATAAGGTTTATTATTACATGAGGTGAGTTATGCAACGCTCCTGCAGAATTGGGGTTTCAGTCTGTGCTTATACATATAAGGAGGTATATGATTACATGAGGTGAGTTATTTGTGGTCCTTGGCTGTATTATAAGGTTTATTATTACATGAGGTGAGTTATGGAACGCTCCTGCAGAATTGGGGTTTCAGTCTGTGCTTATACATATAAGGAGGTATATGATTACATGAGGTGAGTTATGTATGGTCCTTGGCTGTATTATAAGGTTTATTATTACATGAGGTGAGTTATGGAACGCTCCTGCAGAATTGGGGTTTCAGTCTGTGCTTATACATATAAGGAGGTATATGATTACATGAGGTGAGTTATGTGTGCTCCTCGGCTGATTTAGGGTATATGATTACCTGAGTTGAGTTATGTGTGGTTCTCCCCTGATTTAGGGGATATGATTACATGAGTTGAGTTATGGGTGGTTCTCCCCTGATTTAGGGTATATGATTACATGAACTGAGTTATGTGTGGTCCTTGGCTGATTTAGGGTTTATGATTATATGAGGTGAGTTATGTGTGGTCCTCATCTGATTTAGGGTTTATGATTACATGAGGTGAGTTATGTGTGATCCTCGGCTGATTTAGGGTATATGATTACCTGAGTTGAGTTATGTGTGGTTCTCCCGTGATTTAAGGTATATGATTAGATACATGAGGTGAGTTATGTGGGGTCCTTGGCTGATTTAGGGTATATGATTACGTGAGGTGAGTTATGTGTGTTCCTTGGCTGATTTAGGGTATATGATTACGTGAGGTAAGTTATGTGTGTTCCTTGGCTGATTTAGGGTATATGATTACATGCACTGAGTTATGTGTGGTCCTTGGCTGATTTAGGGTTTATGATTATATGAGGTGAGTTATGTGTGGTCCTCGTCTGATTTAGGGTATATGATTACATGAACTGAGTTATGTGTGGTCCTTGGCTGATTTAGGGTATATAATTACATGAGGGGAGTTATGTTTAGTCCTCGCCTGATTTAGGGGATATGATTACATGAGGTGAGTTATGAGTGGTCCTCAGCTGATTTAGGGTATATGATTACATGAGGTGAGTTATGTGTGGTCCTTGGCTGTATTATAAGGTTTATTATTACATGAGGTGAGTTATGCAACGCTCCTGCAGAATTGGGGTTTCAGTCTGTGCTTATACATATAAGGAAACATCAAAAAGATCTAATTTGGCCTTATATCCAAAGTGCTATCTTATTTTTTTCTTATTTCTTTCTTACACTTTCCATTTTTGGGTGTCTCCAAAGGCACCTCCTACTTATGATAATTCCTATACTAATTACCATACAGAGTCATTGTTGTACTCCTTCAATGGGTTTCCCTCGCTGTCGAAGTGGTAATCTATGGAGATGGAGACATCTGTGTCATGGGCTGAAGCAAAGTTGGTGACACTCCTTGTAGGCAAGCCTAGCGCTCGACAACCTAAACAAGACATAACTGTCGTCAGGAACACTGTAAAGCCAGCATCTCATCAAAAATGGAGTCTTAATTAGTACCCTGATTCCTGATGTGTACATTAATCAACTATTATAGTTAAATCAGACTGCAGCACGTAATTGACATGTAAGCTAGGGTAAATATTATATCATGATGTTATAATTTTGTCATTGAGACAGTACCTAACTTAGAATTCATTAATGTTTCATATATATTCAAAGGATACGATTGAAGAAAATGACATTGACCTTAGGTGAATATTTCTAAACATTTTCTTCAGGTTGGTAAGCATTGATTATGAAGAGTTCTTTTTACACAACCAATAAAATTTCTATGCCGATTTATTTATCTGGGACTCCGACTGCTTCCTTTCTGATCTGGTGAATTTAGGAAGCAGTCGAAGTCCCAGATAAATTAATCGGCAATCACAGATCATACCACACAGAAAAATCATGTGATTGACTAGGATAACTCCAAAGTTTTGGACACAGAGAGCAATCTGTTCAAGCGGCAGATAAAGGAAGCCATCTGGTTACTCCGCAGTGGGCCAGTTCTAAATCGAGATGAGGGGGCTCAAAGACTCTCGCACATCTATGACCAAGTATTAAACAAAGCGCAGCTAAATCGAGTCATTTCAGTACATATATAACAACTATTGTACATACGCTTACAGGGTAGTCGAATCGACATCAAATTTTGTGGACAACTCGTACACATTTTACACCTTTGTGTGCATATGCTTCATTGGTCATTTGTCTGATGAAGGTGACAGTGTACATATCCTACTTATCATCAAAACGTCACATAGAAAATGTTATTGGTTGTGTAAAAAGAACTCTTCATGATCTTTGGTGAAGTTGAGGTTAGAATAGTTCGAAGGAACAAAACTGCTGATGGAATGACAGACAGATGCAAAATAGGGGACCATAGTATCCTCTACCAAATCAAGTAAAGTTGACGGTACTTTGGAGAACTACAGATGTACACATGCCAATGCTATCTAACAGGTACTTACATGTGGTCAGTACTGCAGAGAACACCCAGCACTGACCGTACTTGACCGGTGACTTAGTCTTGTAGTACTCCTCAATGATGGCCTGACTTCCTGTCCAGGATGTTGGCTTTTTTCCTCCCTCATAGTTACCTGACCAATTACCTGTTAGGATGCCATTGTCGTCGGAGGAGTTTACCTGTACGAAATGTAAACAAACTGTTAGTCTTTGTTACAATTCTATCACATAATTTTTTGGCATGTGGTTAAGAGCAACTGTTATATATACATACATTGACAGTGGCAATATTGTATCAGGTGTAACAGCCACTTCTTTCCCCTCCGCTGAAAGTTTCCCCGGGGAAAAAATCAGCTAGTCAATAGCTTCCCCCCTAATCCCCTAATAACGAATACAGAGTAGGGAAAGTATTGGCTAGTAACCAATATCCCCCATTAACAAACACTACGAGGGTGGGGGGTGGGGGGTGGCATTAACTAGCAGATTTCTTCCTCCGGGGAAAAAATAATGCTATGGGGGGGGGGGAAACTAACTGAGGGGGGACAGAATCAGCTAGCCTATTTCTTCCCCAGGGAAACTTTCAGACGGGGAAGGAAATGACTTCTACACCGGGAACCTTTTTATAGTCCTCTGTAACGAAGACGTTTTTATCATGACAGCAAATACAAGTATATAACATGCCATATATAGGAATCACTTGTAAGGGCAATATTGACACTGCCGAATATGGATTTCACCTGTGAATGGTAAAAGATTTTAAGCATACAGTTTGTGCCTTACCAGTGCCGTGAGCTTGCGTACAACCTTGATAGGGTCACCTCGGCTAGATGCTGGGAATCCTTTCCAGTCTAGTATGCTAAGGACACAGTCCAACACAGGGTCCTCAAACTACAACAGTACACCGAACATTACCATCTTCATGTTTTACATTTACTGTACACTATGGCATATATTAAACTAAAACACATACCATTGTTCTCTATCGGAGATAATTATTTCAAAAGGGCATCAAACTTAATTGTTGAAAATAGCAAGGTAATTCCTGACATCATACTGACCCATCAAACGCTACAAAGTCATCCTTACCATCAAACAAGCCTGTCTAAAACTCCAAAAACAATTCTGACATCAAACTTAGTTACCTGTGCGAAATTCCAAGGTCGCACTCCAATAGACTTAGCAACACCAACAAAGATTTTGCCTGTGTCGTTTAGGACATACTCATCCAGTAGACCATCGTCATGGAGATATACCTGGTCATCTGAGTAAAAAAAATCAATTTCACTTATTTAATTACAAAATGTAACACTTTAAGTATGATATACAAAGGTGTACCTTTACATCAGGTGTTAAACGTGACAAACACAGGTGTACCTTTACATCAGGTGATAAACATGATATACAAAGGTGTACCTTTACATCAGGTGTTAAACGTGACAAACACAGGTGTACCTTTACATCAGGTGATAAACATGATATACAAAGGTGTACCTTTACATCAGGTGTTAAACGTGACAAACACAGGTGTACCTTTACATCAGGTGATAAACATGATATACAAAGGTGTACCTTTACATCAGGTGTTAAACGTGACAAACACAGGTGTACCTTTACATCAGGTGATAAACATGATATACAAAGGTGTACCTTTACATCAGGTGTTAAACGTGACAAACACAGGTGTACCTTTACATCAGGTGATAAACATGATATACAAAGGTGTACCTTTACATCAGGTGTTAAACGTGACAAACACAGGTGTACCTTTACATCAGGTGTTAAACGTGACATACACAGGTGTACCTTTACATCAGGTGCTAAATGTGACATACACAGGTGTACCTTTTCATCAGGTATTAAACATGACATAAACAGGTGTACCTTTACATCAGGTATTAAACATGACATACAAAGGTGTACATTTACATCAGGTGTTAAACATGACATACACAGGTGTACCTTTACATCAGGTGTTAAACATGACATAAACAGGTGTACCTTTACATCAGGTTTTAAACATGACATACACAGGTGTACCTTTACATCAGATGTTAAACATGACATACACAGGTGTACCTTTACATTAGGTGTTAAACATGACATACACAGGTGTACCTTTACATTAGGTGTTATACATGACATACACAGGTGTACCTTTTCATCAGGTATTAAACATGACATAAACAGGTGTACCTTTACATCAGGTATTTAACATGACATACAAAGGTGTACATTTACATCAGGTGTTAAACATGACATACACAGCTAGGTGTACCTTTACATCAGGTGTTAAACATGACATAAACAGGTGTACCTTTACATCAGGTGTTAAACATGACATACACAGGTGTACCTTTACATCAGGTGTTAAATATGACATACACAGGTGTACCTTTACATCAGGTGTTAAACGTGACATACACAGGTGTACCTTTACATCAGGTGTTAAATTTGACATAAACAGGTGTACCTTTTCATCAGGTATTAAACGTGACATACCCAGGTGTACCTTTACATCAGGTGTTAAATATGACATACACAGGTGTACCTTTACATCAGGTGTGAAACGTGTCATACACAGGTGTACCTTTACATTAGGTGTTATACATGACATACACAGGTGTACCTTTACATCAGGTGTTAAACGTGTCATACACAGGTGTACCTTTACATTAGGTGTTAAACATGTACATGAGGAATGGAAGGGACAAAAAAACATTTACCTTTACACCAGGGGTTAAACAGGATGTAGATAGGTTTGGGGTGAGTGTAGACTTGAGAAATTCTGCGTGATTCTCCTCCTCCTCCTTTCTTTACAGCCCTGACCTTGACATTCCAGTGACCTATTGGACAGACTGGTGGTGACATGACCAGCAGTTGAACGTCATTATCGGAGCACTTGACTATCTTGGCACCCCACTGCTTAGGAAGGTCAGCATCGGACAGGACTATCTCCACAAGTGTTCCTTTAGTTGGCATCGGCTGGTCACCTATGGTTAGAGCATATTATTATACCTCTACTTTATCTACTCTATATAAAAGTAATTGGTTAAGTCGAATATATCCCCACTTTTGCCTGACTGTGTTTTAGTCCTGTGTGTTAGTCTGGGAACTAAAACACACCTACACTCGAGTGTTTCCGCCAAGCCATTCGGGCGAGAGGTGGGCGGAGCTTGTTACCGAACTCGGAGGCGACGCACGAGGTCGGCGGAGCTTGCTACCAAACTCTGAAGTGACGCGCGAGGTGGGCGGAGCTTGCTACCGAACTCTGAAGCATTTGGCTCTATTGCCATCAAGGGTAGTTGCAACGTGAAGCTATACAGCTTATGATTTACAAATATTTTCTAGTTAAAACTATCTCTCCAGTGTGTATCGGTATAATAAAATGGTTAAAGTATGGGGTTGAGGGATATAGCAAGTTTCTGGTGTCCCTTAAGCTTGACCATGCCTATTTATAGACCTGGTCTCGGGACACCAGAAACTTGCTATATCCCTCAACCCCATACTTTAACTGTATACAGGTCTATATAACAGAACTGTGGATGTTGTTATTTCTATGTTATTTTAGAGGAAACTTGATTCTAATCGAAACATAATTTTAGAGGAAACGTTATATATATATTTCAGGGAAATCTTTTTCGATCATGTGACAAAAGGGAGTTAATTTGCATCCTTAACTATCAACATTTATAAATTCAGTGTATAAAGAAGATTAGAAAACCAAGGCTTGGGGAACATATAAATATACAATGAAGGTTATTGAAAATATGCATAACAACAATGATAGCATCGTGATGTTTATTTTGGAAAACTAAATTCTCAACTTTTAACCCTTTCACCACTGTAGACCATAATGGACTCATCCATATCAATGTATGGTAGAGGCTACTAAAGTTACATAGGGGTGAAAGGGTTAATTAACAGCTGTGCTCTTACTTAGTTCTTTTCCCTAGCTGTGGGACAGACAAGGGATGGAGTGAAGGCTGTAGTTCCTGAAATTGTTATTGAGAACTTACAAGTCCCTTATTTATCCTTTCTAACTATGAGGTCCTCTACTTCCTTCTTACCTTTAGAGTGGTTCTTTCTCTTTCTATACATACATGAAATTAACTTTGGTTGTTTCTTTAAGTATTCGGGTGAGGACGTGTCGGGTGGATGTCACGTGGTGTAGGGTATATATAGGGAGCATGTGCTAGGTGCGCTCTTTCCAGTTAGTTGTCATCACCGTAACGAGCTATAATCCCATTTATGTCTTGTGTTATCATTTGAATTTAATTGATTTATTTTCAGACGAATATAATGAGGGAGAATATAAATAAGTGGTCCTTTATTACTTTCTTTTCTATCGTCAAAGCCTCATACCTGTTTGAAAGATAAGCTTTAGCTCATCCCTCTCCGGGTCGTAAGGCCTATCACAGGTAATGGTCATCTGGAAAGACTGACCCCTGCGGATGACAAGGAACGTGTCCTTGTTTGGCCGCTGGTCAGTGAGCTCATACATGAGGGTGTGATGGGTAAAGGTGTCATCCCACACGTTGAACTTGACTTCATTAACTGCAATCAGATCCTTAGCCTCCTCAGGAGTGTCTGAAACAGAATAGTACAGTTTTAAATGGTCACAGTCTTTTAATGTCAAACATTGACCTTTATCATCATTAGTAGAAAAAAACACTTTTGTATTTATTTATTGGTCGGCATGCAATATACCGATAACGAATATGTGTTTAACCCTTTCACCCCTATGTAACTTAAGTAGACTCTTCCATGCATTGATATGGATGAGTCCATTTGGGTCTACAGTGGTGAAAGGGTCAATATATAGATAGAAATATTCACTTATCACAACATTTTCAAGATAATGAAGCAGTCCATTTTTCACCAAAGACCAGTTAGAGAATGATTATTTTATGCATCTGATACACCGATTTGGTAAACAAAATTTTTCATTTGTGTAGATCAAGGTGAAGTTTGGAAAAGGAAGTTTTACAAATTATAATCAATCAATACAAAAAGTGAAAAACCACAATAAAAACTAGAAAATGTCTGTAAGACATAAATGCCCCCGCTCATGGATGGGACGGGACCGGACGGGACAGGACGGACATGGGCAACATTATATGACCCCCCTATTTTATGGAGGGGGCATAGAAATCAAGTTCATAAACACAGACTGCAGAACTGCCAGTCTATATTTTGGTAATGAAATGTCTCTCAAATACTTTTACTTAATTCCCTTTCGTTCTGACAGTGTTGCTCGTATTACAATTGGATAAACAACTCCAAGCCTCGATGTAAATCTTAAATAACGGCAAAAATACTGATATATTGTGACAGCAAGATCCAGTGAGAGTGACTAATTGAAAGAAAACTTGAACAAAGCAATATGGCTGTTTAGACTGGAATGCCTGCCATTAGGTTGTGTAACCCTCTGTGAGACCTCACTTTGAAAATATAGGAACACTACGTAAAGGAGAGAAATGGTACTACTGCTAAAGGTTCAGCCTTCCTAGTATTACCTCTACCTTATTAATCCATCCCCCCTTAAGTCACATTTGAACCTTACCAAATCAAGGACTGGGTAAGTCCATTTTAAATATGTAGGGGTGAATGAGTTGAATCAAACAGACCTACAGAGGTCAGTGTTTACAATTGTGTTTTTGTTTCTGGACTTTAAGTTTGAGGTTGTCTGCTATATGTTGACCTACGATCAGTAGTACACTTTAATATGTCATATCAAGATTTGTTTTTTAAGTTGTCCTTTTCACTGAAATGATGTTTGACCAAGTTTGACTGAATGTCCTGCAGTAGGTTGTAAAGAATTCAAAGATTTTCTTTTAGTTTTGCTGTAATTTTCTCTTTCCTATTTTACTTAATATTATCTATGATCTAATACCATGAAAACATGTTTTTGCAAATTAACGTATATTACACATCTGATGTAACAGACCCTAACAGCTAGCACACACTGCACCAGTGTTACTGGGCAGAGATCCCAACAACAGCTACATCAGAAGGAAGTTGATAGGGTTGAAACGCCATGTTGGTACTTTGTGAAGTTATGAGAAATAAAGAGGACAAAAAGCCAGGGTAAACCTGTGATAAAAGTAAAATAGATCCATATCATAATTAATATTATCCACACAGAGTCTTAAAACATCACCTCAGCCAACCACTATGAGATGTAACTTCACATAAGTGATCAGATCGATCTGTTCCTATTGTTATTTAACCCTTTCACCTCACTATATAGACCATAATGGACTTAACCAGATCAATGCATGGTAGAGTTTATTAAAGTAACATAGGGGTGAAAGGGTTCAGGACCCACCTGTCCCACTGCGCTGTAGTTTTTCCTATATACAGTGAGATCCCCTTCCGTTTTGATATAACTGAACCATATCCTGGACACTTCTGTTGACCAGGAAGCTCAAAATATTTCCTGTTATATTCATTCTTGTTTTTATATTTAAAAGACGAATTTGTTACATAATGTTATTTTAATAAGAATGTTTTATGAAATATTGCAAATATTATTATCTATAAATCATGAGTAAATCTAAGAGGTAGATTTAGTGTACATATAAATAGAATCCATCCAGGATGAGAGGTATGGATAAGGTTATTCAAACCCAAGGAATAAAATATTGAGCATGAGACCTGAGGTTTTGTCGAGGGTCCTATTCTCAAAATGTTATCCCGAGGGTTTGAATTACCTCACATCAGGGATCCTTACCTCACATCAGGGATCCTTACCTCACATCAGGGATGGATTCTATTTCTTGCTTATTAACCTAAAACCCGTAAAAACAACTGCTCTTATAGTAAAGTTGTAAACTGTCCGCACATTTCTCATTTGCATATGAAGCCCGGATTGCAATTGTTAGTGATGTCAATGACCCTGACTGACCCCAAAACGTCATAAAATGACGTCACAAACAATAGCGTGACCCGGAAAGGTCACTATAATTCCTCTGCCAGTCTGCGAGTGTAAGCGATCCAGACTCGTTGGTCGGATCGAATTTTCCAGCACCACCGGAAATGCGGATTTCTCGGTCTAGTATGCAAGAACAAATATTATTAACATGATATAGGGACATGTTTATTGTAAATTCCACTCACCCTTTTCAATTCCCACCCAGTCTGACCGAGTGACTGAGGTGGCTATATTGCTGATCCAAACATTTTTATTTCATTAAATTGTTAATGAACATCAAACATTTATTTGAGACTTGACTTTTTATAAACATTTAATTGTTGAAACTCCTATGTCCTACATATATGAGGTCTACTAGCCACATCTTTGTTGATGTGAGTACATTCATTTTGATTTAAAACACTCCAGAAACAGCACAATATCTAGCAGTCGGTGACAAAGGCAATTAATGAAGCTGGATTTCAACATATAGTTCATGCTGTATATATATTTATTAAATTTTTGCCAGTGAAATATCGGATACTATCAACTTGATAAACTGTGAAAAATATCAAAAGTGATATTTTCAGTGTAAAAATATCACTTTTTGTATTGACCAATCATAACAGTATCTTCAATTCACTGCATTCAAAGGCAACGATTTTTTGTTCAGATTAAAATGAAACGACAGTAGAATAAGTGGTTGTTATGGTAAATGTTTGGTACTCACACTTAAGTATTTACATAAATATACAATTAATAGAATTATAAGCAATAATACCAGAAAAAAGCAGAAAAAGTCGGAATTTCGTTGAGTTTCCCATTCAAAATGGCACGCAGCCTTGTTGTCAAGTGTGACATCATTAGGATATGACGCTAATTATTACGCTCCGGTTTCCCGCCCATTTTTAATGCATTACATTTTTTCATGTTTTATGCTTTAAAAATGTAATAAATGAAAAAATTAATGGTGTCTTCAGTAATAACAAATATATTTCACTCGTGTGGCTAATATTTTGATATTTTTCACTCGTGCTGAGCACTCTTTATTTGTTATTACTGACAACACCATTAAATATCCTCTATGTAGTCACCCCCACTAAGTGTCAACAAAATGGGCTCAGCAGGACTTGTATAATATAAGTTATTGTTTCACCCAATTAGAGGAGGCTGTGATGGCCATCTTGAATCCAAAATCTTAAAAAGTCACTAGTTTGACAGAAAGTAGCTTGTTGATGTTGGACACTGGCTTAACCCATAAACCCCTAAAGTCATATCTGAACCTTACCAAATCAAAGACTTGGCAAGTCCACTTTAAATATGTAGGGGTGAAATGAGTTAAGAAGACAATCATACAAAAAGAGCAAAAAGTCTAAGGAAAAAACCTGAAACCAAAATGTTTATCATGAACTTTAATCATAGGGGTTTAACATGACTACGACTAAAATAAGTACACTTTTAAGTTATTCCACTGGCACTGTGTGTCACCTACATATCACAGATTCTTTGCTTTGTAATGATATTTTTTTATTTCGTCCAGCATTCTGACTACTGTACCATTAGCTTATTGTGCAACTTTAATACTATTCTGTTGATAACAAGAGGCCCATGGGCCTTAACGGTCACCTGAGTCCTACAGTATTTATTTTTGTTGTTGAAATATGTACCAATTTGAGTAAAAAGTAGTTAAGTATAATGTTAACTTAACTTTGTCAGGACCATGAGCTGATCATTCCTAGACCGATTTTAAATAAGATCGGCCTATTAGAAATTGTTTTTAAGTTTAGAATAGGTATTTACAAAATAGCGGCTGTGGTGGCCATATTGGATTTCTGATTGACCTGAAAAATAACAACACTTTGTCAGGACCATGAGTCGATCATTCCTACNTGACTTTAAGTTTGAAATAGGTTTTCAAAATGGCGGCCGTGGCGGCCATATTGGATTTCTGATCGACCCGAAAAATAACAACACTTTGTCAGGACCATGAGGCGATCATTCCTACCAACTTTCAGTTCAATCGGTCCAGCAGAACTTGACTTTAAGTTTGAAATAGGTTTTCAAAATGGCGGCCGTGGCGGCCATATTGGATTTCTGATCGACCCGAAAAATAACAACACTTTGTCAGGACCATGAGGCGATCATTCCTACCAACTTTCAGTTCAATCGGTCCAGCAGAACTTGACTTTAAGTTTGAAATAGGTTTTCAAAATGGCGGCCGTGGCGGCCATATTGGATTTCTGATCGACCCGAAAAATAACAACACTTTGTCAGGACCATGAGGCGATCATTCCTACCAACTTTCAGTTCAATCGGTCCAGCAGAACTTGACTTTAAGTTTGAAATAGGTTTTCAAAATGGCGGCCGTGGCGGCCATATTGGATTTCTGATCGACCCGAAAAATAACAACACTTTGTCAGGACCATGAGGCGATCATTCCTACCAACTTTCAGTTCAATCGGCCCAGCAGAACTTGACTTTAAGTTTGAAATGTAAAATGTTAACGGACGACGGACGACGGACGACGACGGACGAAAACGGATAGCAATAGGTCACTTGAGCTAAAGCTCAGATGACCTAAAAATTGATGTTATTGAGAAAATGAGTATCTTGTATTGATTACTGCCTTGTGATATGAGTATGGATACCACACCTGTGTCCACAGCTGGCTGTCCAGTTTGAGGAGGTGTTCCGAGAGGGAACCTTCCCTCGCGCAGCGTCACCCCGTCCATTACAGGCTCCGGCATCGCCTCCTTCTGGAGGCAGGAACATTGGTTACCCATCTCGGGTCAATCTCGAATAAACAGTTTGATCAGCACTGAAAGTCGCACAGTCTGAACAATGAACGCAACGTCACAGGACAACTGTCTGCGTGGTCAACAAAGTATCTATCCAACGGGATAATGCTGATGGTCAACAGTCATAATCAAAAGATGATTCTATCAGCTACTAATTGGTCTTTTAAAACTTGCTCTCAGTGGGTGTCACTCATCTACAATGGTCAAAGCTCAGTGGACAACACAACCGTTAACCAATGGTCATGGGATTTACCATCGAGTATTAGTTTGACCAATCACAGCTTTGTTAACAGAAAAGTTTTCCTCTACCTCATAAATTCTGACTACTGACCAACGTTACTCTGGCGAGACACCAGCCGATAAAGAGTCACAATCTTTGTGGTATAAACAAATTGTAGATCAATTTCACCACATCCAGCTGTAAGTCCACTTGACATTAGATTGCACCAAAGTATGAAAACATTTAAGACACTTGTGTACACGGCTGTGGTATTGCAGTGTTACCCACAGTTACAAGATGAAGCTATACACCCACTTTATGTGTATACAAAAACACATATACTGTGCTATAATATGATGTAGACTTCCTGCCGCGTACGCTGGCATCCTTAATGCACAGTCAGGTCTACATACCCCCCCCCCCCCTGTCTGTATCGTTTTATTTCCGAGAGTTAGAAGTATGTTGTATCTGTACTTGTCAACACACAAATAACAATGTCAAGGACCTTACAATTATCATAGACCAGAAAAAAATGCAAGCCACTGACTAAGATATGAATCTGATGCCAAGACCTGAAAATCTAATGGCTGATGCTCTAAGGGTGGGTAACTGGACTGTTGACCTGGTCAGTGACTTTGACTGATCACCAAAACATTCTGTTGTTTGTAGGATCCAAAAGGTATACGCTTTGGGTTGACTATCCTGATGCACCCAGCATATCAGTTACCCTGGAGATACAATGGGCAGGTTACAACTTACAATCAAGAGATGTGATAGAAATATACTGTAAAACTATATACTCCCACATATTTTAGCAGTATTTAAATCTTAGCGCTTTTTTTAACCTTCACTATTGCGCTAAATTATGATCACAGTAATATCACGATTACAGTAAATTATTAAGTTTTTACATACAGTTTTCTTGGTATAATTATTAACCCTTTCAACCCTGTGTAACTTTAGTAGACTCTACCATGCATTGATTTGGATGAGTCCATTATGGTCTAAAGTGGTGAAAGGGTTAATGTGCCAATTAATCAATGCTCTTCAAATTTGATAATATGATAAGGTCAGATTGAGAGGCAACTATGATAAGTATTTTTATAGAGTTTATATTGCTGTCTCAGAAGATATTTGTTAGCAACACTTTTCTGCTGAAGGTTTTCAGTAGATATTTGATATTGATTCTTTTTCTGTTTAAGGTTTCCAGTAGATATTATTGTTTATGGTCTGATTAAATATTGGTCTTTGATAGATGTGTAAATTCTGTAATTTGGTTGGCTGTGACAACCAGTTGGTCCATTCACAGCCATTGTCTATCACAGCAAAATTCTATGGTGATATATACTGTATGTAACAGTGCAAAATATACTACACATATGCCAGATGTAGTCATGCACACATTTTTGTCATGGCTCCCTCTCATACAACAGGCAATTTAACAATACATATAGACATGAATATTATACAAACCCCTATACCACATAAAATATATTTCCTTATAGAGGGAATATATCATATTTTGTGGGACTATTATATGCTTTGATACATCTCCAAATTCCTCTGTAAAGTACTGTGTTTATCCCTTTCAGCACTGTAGACCATAATGGACTTATCCATATCAATGCATGGTAGAGTTTATTCAAGTAACCTAGGGGTGAAAGGGTTAGGTGGCAATAACCCTGTGTCTTGCAACAAGAGGCCCAAAGGGCCTGTATAGCTCACCTGTTTCTGTTGTTACATGAAACTGACATAAAGGTAACCTAAGATCAAATTTGGTAACTAGAACACAAGACATTTCAACATCGCTTAAACCGGTAAGATATTATTGTTTGATATTTGAAATTTTAATTTTAAAGCCTTTAACCAATATTGACCTTTTCCTCCCCACTTGAATTTAAAGTTGACCTTTGAACTCATTACTGTAATAAAGAAAACAATTCACACAGCTGGTCTACATAACATATCCAAGTATCCTGACTCTAGTCAAATGGTTCTTAGGATATTGTTGTTTGAAGTTTTTAACATATTTGACCCATGTGACCTTGAAAATAGGTCAAGGTCATTTTAATGGGGAAAATCATAGCACTTTATCCCAGGCACCTACTGGCCAAATATCACGACCCTGGTCCTTATGGAACTTGGTAAAAAGATTGTTAAAGCTTTTAACCCATGTTGACCTTTGACCACCGACTTGCATTTACAGTTGACCTTTGACCTCATTACTGTTATTAAGAAAAAGATTTGCACTGCTGGTCTACATAACATAGCCAAGTATCATAACTCTAGTCAAAATGGTTCTAAGGTTATTGTTGTTTGAAATTTTTAACATATTTGACCCCTGTGACTTTGAAAATAGGTCAAGGTCATTTTAATGAGGAAATTTTATAGCACTCCATTGCCAGACAGTGCTGCTTGTTACCTTACACAAAAATAAATGATCGCTATTAGCTGCAATGGATAGATGCTGCATTAGACAGATTCACTTGTGTCGAACGTTACCTGCTGCACCAATAATTGTAGAAGTGTAACCATGACAACAAGCTTTTGGTTTATTAGGTTGATCACTATGAAGTTGCATTCTACAAACAATCTTCATCATCAAACTATGTGTAGTATGCATCCTCTGATGATTTAACTAACATGCACAATAAGTGAACAGAGAATCCAAAGAAGATTTAATTTGATGTAGCAATTAGCGTCCTAGCGAAATAAACATACGAATGCACTTTGGATAGACACAGTATTGTATATGACCTTGATGACTCATCAGTGAACACAGAAATAGTTCTGGTGGTTTGGTTTGATTGGGTAATATGGTTGTAGTGTAATTGATGCTTTGATAGGATAGAGTGGCATGTGTTGAGGAGGGATCATGGCTGATGATTCTCTGGGTGAGATGTATATCACCTGCCCGTTTCTTTACCTTCATGAGGTACGTACATGATGTACGTACATGAGGTACGTAAGAACTATCATGAATATGGGAGTTCACATTCTGGTGATTACAAACAGAAATTTGAAACCATTATCATTGAAGACTATAGCTTCTAAAAATTAAAATTAAAAAAGGTACATCGAAAACATGATACTGTGAAATCATTAACTTTCGTAGGGGTTTCAATATAATTTATTCATTGTGTACATATGTACTTTTTATCCACGAATTAATATGTCCATGAAATGATTACAGGTTTGACATAAGGCTATTAGTATATATAACTGCCAGTGGAAATCCATGAAGTCATGTACCCACAAAATTGTGACATGAGGTGCCCAGCCGTACTCCTAAATGAATGAATACTATACTATAGTCATGATTTAACCAGACCTTGACAGTCTCAGAAGATTTTTTTGTATGGAGCTGCTCGATACTCCGGTCAATAAATAAATTCGACTTAAACCAACAGGACGTGTGGAGTTGTTATTTCAAAAAATGCCCTGTGACAAATCATGTTTATAGTATAGTAGTCACTCATTTACGAGTACGGATATGGCCGTGCAGGCGGGACTCCATAGGATACGTTCCGTCTCACGAAAAACAGCCAACTGCAAACTAGCGCAGTGTATTACTAGTTTTATTAATACTTTCAATCACACTTGTCCGATTTCTTGCAAACTCTCACCCTAACTTACATATAACTCCTCAAAAACACCAAATACCAAGTGCTTTGTACCAAATTGATTGAGTCTCTCAATTCATATAGAAGAGGAAGGATTTTGAAATGAATCTGTATTTCCCATATTGGGCAATATACCCCGGTGTCCCTATCGGGACCACACCTTCTGTGTATACACAATTGGAACCTGCTTACCAAGGATGCTCTACACCAAGTTTGGTTAAGGTCCCTTTTCAGTACAGAAGGAGAAAGATTTTAAATATTTATCATTATGTTTCCCCAGAAAGCTAATATCCCTCCAATTGTAATGAAGGAGAATCATTTTAAAGATTTACCTCAATTTCCCCTATAGGGCCTCGCCCCTCTGCCCCCTTAGTGGTGGGGGTCAAACCCTCTGTTTATACAAAATTGAGTCCCCCAGGCCAAATTCAGTCCAAATCCACTAAGCTATTCAGGACAAGTAGTGTTTCAAACAAAATTTTGACGAACCACGTGAGCTACTTAAAACATGCATACATGTATAGCCAAATTTTCGACTTTGGTAAGCTTCAGACTCTGGTTTGGTTTTAGACATGTTTTGTTACTTTAATTAGTTTAGATTATAGATATATTTTGTTCTTTACAGGCTGTTTTAGTTATCTGCAATTTTATATAGTAAGTGTTACGATTTTCTTCCATAAGATTTTGTTATAGGTAAGGGTTTTGTTACTTACATTCAACTGAGGATTCCCATTTATCCAGCAGAGTAGAGAAGTTAGTGGTATGTCTCCTTCCCTCTGACATCTTGGTGAACCTACACAGACTCAACCTCCCTGTTAGCTGGTGTGTGTGTTATGATGCTGTGTGCCGTGCTGACGACCTCAACCGCTCAGGCATTACAAGGTGGTACCATCAATACTGTCTACTCTATTTACATCATGGATGTGCATTTAGGCAATTGTTCAATGATGTTAAACAGTATTTCACGCATCATGCCAGATTTTAATACATATGTTATAGCTTGCCATATCTAATACAAAAAGATAATGTAACTATTTACCAGGACATTAGCAGTACACATGATTACACACCAAACTACTAACACAATAGTACATGCCAACACTAAACGGTACATACAACTACTAAACCATCCTTGACACTCCAGGGGTTACGCTTACTTACGCTCTCCTCGACACTCCAGGAGTTACGCTTACTTACGCTCTCCTCGACACGCCAGGGGTTACGCTTACTTACGCTCTCCTCGACACTCCAGGGGTTACGCTTACTTACGCTCTCCTCGACACTCCGGGGGTTATGCTTACTTACGCTCTCCTCGACACTCCAGGGGTTACCCTTACTTACGCTCTCCTCGACACTCCTGGGGTTACGCTTATTTACGCTCTCCTCGACATTCCAGGGGTTATGCTGACAGATATCAGCCTAGCGATTGGTCAGTATTTTTTTCCTGAGACCAATCAAACAGCTATTTTTGTGCCTTCAATTTTGCCATGACATATTCCAGGGGTGCAGAGAGCAAAAGTGAGCGTAACCCCTGGAAATCGAGGATGCTACTAAACATAAGTACACAAATTTTAACAGGAGAGACAGATAAACGGGAGAGACGGAGAGACTACCTCTGTCCGTGATAGCATTGTCTTCAATATATATTTAGCAGCAGTTTATGGGGCAAAGAAGTAATTCCAACAGTGTGGACAAGTTTAGGTTGTCAAATTTTCGGAGCGATCCGCTCCTTTATCAAGACACAGTGAAACAGAACAGTTACATGTACATAAACATCATATTACAAGAAGATAGAACTGATATACTATAATTGAAAATATAGCTATTATATAAAACCAATAGTTTAGCAACAGTTTGATATACTGAGGATATGTATACATATAGGTTCAGTTTAATAACTCCTTGACATAATATCTTTAACACTTTCATCTTTTCAAGGAGATCTATATATCTTATACAATTATAGCCTTTTGATTTCGGTCGATACATGGTTTTATAGACCCGAGAAAAAAAATTGACCAAGGACAAAGTCTGGGCCCGTATTCATAAAACCATTCTCATGCTCAAGCATGGATTATGTGCTCAAGTCTTATTTCTTGTTACAGTTATAAATTATTTAAAAAATCTTATTTTGTAAAGGTTTTGGACAAAAATTGAAGAAACTTGAAGCCGAATACTGTTTTCAATATTTAAATTTGACTTTTTGATCGTTGACATGATTGAGGTGGGTTACAAGAAAGCTGGCTTGATTGAGCACAGAATCCATGTTTGAGCATGAGAACGGTTTCATGAATACGGGCCCTGATGTCAATTTTTTTTAATTTTTTTTTTAAAACCCATCTTTGAAATCTAATATATCTGTCAACATTAAATGTATATTTATTAGGTGAATTAGTATCATACCTATGTATATATATATATATGAATAGTTAATGTGACTCGAATACATTCTATATAATATATTCATGTATAATTATTTCATTATGAGAATGTTTATGAAATAATTATCTCCCCTCTAAGTAGTTTAACCAAACACTTGTCTTTCCCTATTTACTACAAATGGCTTAAATAAAATATATATACGAAGTGTTCAAACATGTAAAAAAAATCCTGTACCTTTCAAGCATTATGAAAATGGATGTTCTTTTTGAGTTGGGTTTGGATGAGAAAGGAATGTCTTCTAAAATGCTGCCTCGAATGACCAAAAGGCATACAGGGCGTGTATCAATTATCTGGATATTTAAGCAATCATGGCAAGATATTTTAATTAAAAGTTATCATACAAGCAGTTCCCAATTTTGGGCTCAGTATCAAGTAGGACATCATCCAATCAGAGTCTAGTCGGTTCTCTGGAGACATTTTCAGAGTCTAGCTGCTTCTCTCAATACCCCTGGAGTCTAGCTTATTCAAAAATAGTAGCATAAATATATGGTAGTAAAATTGTTGGAGTGAGTAGCCCCTGATGCGCCAAATGTATTACTGTTTGTAAGTATGTTGCTAACAAGAGTAATTAACAGGTTAACTGTTTCTTGTGTGTTAGTTGTATATAAAGTGTGGGTTTAAACCACTTCTATAATACAATCATGGTGTAGCAATATGATTGTGTTTGTCTCTTAATACTAAGTAAGCACGTACATTGCTATCATATAAAATTGTCTTACCCATAGCATATGTCTGATGCATGGTGTACTTACTGTAGTGGAGATATCAATCATGTGCAAATTTTGACCAAAGGAAACCCTGTGACCAAGTTCATTATTAAATGAAGAAACTTCATAGCTCTTTATAGCTCTTCATCACAGGTATACTCATGGACCAAATATCTAAACCTTGGCCCTACAGAATTAACTAAAAATAAAAGCAAGATTTTGTAGCTTTTAACTTATTATAGCCTATGTTGACACACGCTGGTTAAAATTGACTCTGAAGCAATACAATAAGTAAGAAAACTAGAACACTGACAGGTCAGTAAGGGCCCCGTCTTGTGGCAATATATTCCCCATAATCACCAAGAAGCAATCTGCCCATATAGCGGAGCTTGACGTTTGACATTTGGACTTCAAAAAGAATCGCAAGGAAGCAAAATATACATTTTACATGTACTATGATGTGAGTCTTGTTTCCTTCCACCTCCATATTTGCTGGGCTAACAGAAATGTAAATAACGGTGCAATACTCATTTGTTAGCTTTGATTTGTTTTATTTCACCTTAAATACCTCCCCCATCAAGAGCCAGGGTCAAAGTCAGAGATCCATTTTGTCTTTGACCTTTGGACCCAAATGACCTTGACCTTTAACCCAGTGACCCTGATCTTTGGTCAGTTGACTTATTCTTTAATTCCAACCAATTTTGCTTCATAATATCATAACAAAATGTTCAGTGGAAAAAAAAATTGACCTTGACCTTGAACCTTTGGACCTGGTAACCTGTACCTTTGGTCAGTTGACTCTGTGTTAAGTTCTGAACAACTTTGCTTCATAATAACATAAAAAAAATGTTCATCAGTAAAAAGATACAATATTTGACCTTGACCCCTTGACCTTAAGTCAGTTGACTTCTTGTTAAGTTCCGACCAACTTTGCTTCATAATGTCATAACAAAATGTTCATCAGTGGTAAGACACAAAACTTGACCTTTGACCCAAAGACCTTGACCTTTGGTCAAATGATTCCTTGTTTAATTCCGACCAACATTGCTTCAAATTGTCATTACAAATTGTTCACCAGTGAAAATATACTAAATTTGACCGTGACCTTGACCTTCAGTCAGTTGACTCTTTGTTAATTTCAAACCAATTTTGCTACATAATGTCATCGCAAAATGTTCAACAGGGAAAAGATACAAAATTTGACCTTGACATTTGACTCAGTGACCTTGACCTTTGTTCAATTGACTCCTTGTTTAATTCTGATCAACATTGCTTCAAAGTGTCATAACAAAATGTTCACCAGTGAAAAGACACAAAATTTGACCTCTGCCTTTGACCCAAAGACCTTGACCTTTTGTCAAATGACTCCTTGTTTAATTCCGACCAACATTGCTTCAAAGTGTCATTCCAAAATGTTCACCAGTAAAAAGATACTAAATTTGACCTTGACCTTTGACCCAATGAACTTGACCTTAAGTCAGTTGACTTTTTGTTTATTTCCAACCAATTTTGCTTCATAATGTCATAGCAAAATGTTCACCAGGGAAAAGTTAAAAAATTTGACCTTAACATTTGACTCAGTGACCTTGACCTTTGTTCAATTGACTCCTTGTTTAATTCTGACCAATATTGCTTCAAAGTGTCATAACGAAATGTTCACCAGTGAAAAGACACACAATTTGACCTTGACCTTTGACCCAAAAACCTTGACCTTTTATCAAATTACTCCTTGTTAAATTCCGACCAACATTGCTTCAAAGTGTCATAACAAAATGTTCACCAGTAAAAAGATACTAAATTTGACCTTGACCTTTGACCCAGTGACCTTTACCTTAAGTCAGTTGACTCTTTGTTTATGTTCAACCAATTTTGCTCCATAATGTCACAGCAAAATGTTCATCAGGAAAAAGATACAACATTTGACCTTGACCTTTGACCAGTGACCTTGACCTTTTGTCAACTGACTCATTGTTTAATTCTGAGCAACATTGCTTCAAAGTGTCATAACGAAATGTTCACCACTGAAAAGATACAAAATTCTAACCTAGACCTTTAGTCGGTTGACTCTTTGTTTAATTCTGACCAACATTGCAACAGTGTCATAACAAAATGTTCATCAGTGAAATGTTACAAAATTTGACCTTGACCTTTGACCCAGTGATCACGACCTTTGGTCAGCATGTTTCTTTGTTTAATTCCAACCAACTCTACAAATTTTGACCTTTGACCCAGTGAACTTGACCTCTGACCCGATGACCTTGTCCTTTGTACAGTTGATTTCTTGTTTAATTCTGATAATAATAATAATAATAATAACTAGATGTGATGAAGATCAAAACACGGGATTTCCAAGAAGAAAATGATCAAAGATATGTTTTCGAACTGACTATCGCTTTTAAACGTTTCCCTTTGTTTCCCTTTGCTTCCCTTCTCTGACAAACGTATTTTGTAGGTTTCACTTGTTTTTTGGCCTGTATCACTTACTGGTCACCGAGAAAAGCCTGATTAGCTTCAGCAATTTATAAAATATAAACAGAACACTTTTACATATTGAAACAGAAGTTATGAAAATATATCAGTGATATATTATGAATTATCATAATGAATGTCTGTGGATATTATTGAGTAAAAATAGAAAACAAACATTTAAACATACAGTGAGTAAATTGTTTCTGGACATATTGAAGCTGACTATTATGCCTAATAAGTTTTGAAGATTTACCTTGTTTGTGGATAAGGGGATAAGGGCAGATCTGTGATTCAGTAAGACCACAGTAAGGAGACACTCACTGTCTCTACGTAGTTTGAATGTTCTGTAACGGGTTATTGCCCTTTGAACGTGTGCTAGTCTACAGTAGCTGACTGAGTAGTGTGGGATTCCCAGAGTGCGAAATGACTTCAGAGAAAGAATGATAAATATAGGCAGCCAATGGGTGGTGTTGACGAATGTAGTCCGTAAAAGTCGTATAGTCCCTCAACTACATCGGGGTGATGAATGAAACGAGCATTGTGTCTATATCGGTTCGGTTTGCCATGCCAAAGAAAGGCTGATGTTTCCCCACTGCAGTAGAGATGTAAACTATCCCTACTTTCAAGATTGAGAGTGGGTAGTAATTGATGTAGTATTACCAGCGTGTATTAGATGTCTTAATATAAATCAAAGTACTGAGAGTACTGAAAACACTTCAAAATCGCACAAAAATGACAAAATGGAAATCACTAATAACAAAGTGGTATATCTTCGTCATTGTTGATGCTATGACCTTGAAACTTTGGAAATACCTTGAACAGACCTTGCTCTTTAATATTTAATTTTATGATTTTTATTTTTGACCTATATTTGACCCCATAGCGAGGCTTTGAACTTGATATTCTCAGATAACGTGTCATTGAAAAAGGTTAGCCCCGCCTAAGCTCTACCAGAAGTATGAAGCGTTTATGCAGTACAACGAAAGCTTTTGAATGTATGGTCGTTCAAAAAACGTTTTAAAAATCTCTATTTTTAGATCTGTGACTTGACCTTTGACATTGTGATCATGACTTTGTTATATTTCCCCTGTTTGGCCCCGCCCTTAGCCCCCAGGGGGGCCAGAGCTATGGTTTATACAAAATTGGTTCCCCTTCACCCAAGAATGCTACAGACCAAATATGGAACAAATCCTTTCATTCCTACAGAAGAAGAAGGATTTTAAAGAATTTGCTTTATTTCCCACATTGGGCCCCGCCCCTCAGCCCCCTGGGGGGCAAGACCGACCCTTTATACAACATTTGTTCCCCTTCCCCCAAGGATGCTTTTGACCAAATTTGGTCAAAATCTGCTCAGTCGTTCATGACTAGTAGCGTTTTAAAGGAAAAATTGACGGACGACGGACGCTGCGGTATGGCATAAGCTCACCATGGTCCTTTGGACCAGGTGAGCTAAAAACACTTTCTTGTTGTTATAGCTTTGTACATTTACTACAAGAATAATACATTAGAAGGATTTTAAGCATGTCCGTTTTTTTTCTGGGATTGGCATATATTGTTCCATCTCTTTGGTAACTTATTTGATTTAAATTCAAGAAATCTTTTCCATGAACAAAACGTAAGAAGTCAGATTTAAGAAATATTGAAGCATTTACTGCTATATGTCAATGTTAAGGAGAATATTGTATGACATAATGTACAGTGTTAATTATCCAGTGAATATACCCATGCCATATTTTTTGGCGCATTAACCCATGTCATATGACCTATCAGCCCTGTGATTGGTTGTAAGTTTCAATTGTTTCAATTGTGACGTAGCGCCTAGAACAAGTACATGATGTCACAGACGTACGCACTAGAGTCAAAATGGCGTTTTTTTTACATTTCAAGGTTGCATGAAAATTGTCATTTTACACGGATAAATGTCGTTTTCATTTCATAAGAAATTTATGAAACTCGTCACTAATTTTTCATTTTAGCCAGAGGCTCGCTAAATTGAAAAATTCTGAGACTCGTTTCATAAATCTCATATAAAATGGAAACTCATGTAAGATCCTATATGTATGACATCTATTCTTCATGTAAATATTGAACTATATTTACCAAATAAATAAACAAAAATCATCATGAATTCTAAATCAAAGCTTTATTGACTGAAAACAAACATTAGCACTGCGTATGTGTATATGAGTAAGCTACATACCATATATATCTGGTACAGGAAACCTCTGGTCACTGGGCAGACAAGCACTACGTCAACACTCTACTGATGGCATTTATAATGACATCGCTAGTTCTGTACATACATGTACATTATACTTATCTTCACTCAATGTTTGATACTGTGGAAAGTAAGCTCATTTTTGACTTCAGATAAGATGATACTGCGTGCAACGGGGCAGACTGAGATTTGAACTTGCAACCTCTGCACTCTAGAAGGTAACTAAAACCAAATGATCTACCAGGTCACCAGGGATAGTTTTTTATTTTAAAGAATTCTCTTTTGATTTTATAATTGCCCGTTGTCAGTACACACGTGTCATCATGATTAATATATTGTTGATATCAAGATCTATACAAGATCTGTTAATTTCACAAAATGCCTATACTTGACACATCTGCTTTCTCCTTGGCTACCCGTGGAGGTGGAATGTTTTATAAGCGATACAGTTGGAGTAGTTATATTTTAGTTTTGTTGTTGTCCTCAGCACAGCAGTGTTTATATGGCAAGCTATTTGAATGATTTTCCTTCCATGTGTTTAATATTAAAATATTCACATCCATTACCTGGTACATATCAACATCCAGTTCAAACATTAAAGACGAGAATGAGTCAGTACAATGTGTATCATTGATCAGCTTCTCAAACAACTGATCAGCTTCTCAAACAATCTCTTATCTGAAATGAGTCAGAACAATGTGTATCATTGATCAGCTTCTCAAACAATTGATCAGCTTCTCAAACAATCTCTTATCTGAAATGATGAAAAAATATATTGCTTAGACATTAGGCCTATGGTGAGATCATTTAGTCCATCAGAACTGATCATTATCTACAACTTAATGAAAAAATTAGGAGACAATTACAATTAAGAGGCAACAAAACAAGAACTTAACCAAAAAACGCTGTCAATGTATTACAGTGTGTAATTTACAAAGAACATTGTCTTCTACTGTGAAATCAAATTTCGTGGTTTCCAGACAAAACACCATTTCATGGATACATGAATTCATGGAAACGAGTACCCTCACTCAAACTAAAAACCCCACAATAATTAGTAATTTCACAGTCTATCTGCATGGGTATCTGATTTTCGCAGGTTCACAACAGTAGCTAGCTATATAAGGTGAACACTATGACAGCAGTTTTTCCTTTGTTAGTAAATAATAGGTAACAAAATTAAAGCTAAAACAATTAAAAAACCCAGCAAAAGTCTGTCTCATGCAAAGTGAATAATATTTGTACCATAAAGTTCAAACAGGGCAGCAACAGATTTGCTCCCTTATAAGGAGTGATGAGATCATTGTTGATTAGTGGTTGCCATGACACATTTAGGCGTCCTTGACTTCCACCTCACAAAGACTTGACAGGTTGCCAAGCTCCTTGGAGTTGAATAGGATGGTGTAAGTCCTCTTGCCCAGCTTCTTGGGAATGATATCCACCTGGTACATGAATGTACTCTTCTTCTCCACCAGTCTGTGATTAAAGGAGAGAAATCAATAGGTGTTGGCTTGATCCAAATTTGGCAGTCATAGTAGATAGAAAGAAAACACTTCTTCAAGATGTGCCTAATACTGTGAATATCTTTTTAGCAGAAAATTCATTTCGTTGCTAGGGAATGTACAATTCCATGTTCAAAATACTACTCACAGAAAGATTTTAAAAAAGTTCTGCAAGATGGACCTTTAATTCTATAATAAATATTGAAAATTTCACTTGCCCTGACATAAAACCTACTAGCCTAGGCATCTGACTAGTTGAATTGTACATCTCTGTTGCTATTATTCTAGGTATTACATTTGTGTTCAATCATGGATAGACTCTTGTGTCTCGTGCATTAAACTCTAAAATTCTGATTGGGCAAAGTTGCTGATCAAGCTAGTTATTACTGATACAACTTTTGAAAATGAATTTAAGATCAAAAATTTGCCCAATTTATTTTTTTCCAATTATATAACATGCTTGTACTATAATACAAGTGCATTGTCACTTTCGTTATGTGATCAAAACGTTGCGTTCTATTTGTTACCATTTCAACCAACTTTGAAACATATAAATTTACACTATCAAATTTGTTTTTAATGACACTTAATGGCCAAAACCAAAACATTTGTACATTTCCGATCAGTTTACAAGAATTCACACAGATCAAAGGCAATCTGCAGAAGTATGGCAGCCATTGAACTTTTTGAACAGAACTGTCTGTACTTACCCTGGTTTGTATTTGGTGTCCTTTTGCCCTGCCCCACTGACAGACAGTTCTGTCCCTGTCAGGCTGGTGGGCAGGGGGTTGGTGAACGAAACTTCTACCTGGAACTTTTTGCCAACCGCCACAGTGCCAGGAGCCTGTGGTATTGTAAATTTAATCATTTTGAATCTGTGAACAACTATATATCTGTTTCAATATATATCTAACTTCTCAATCAAAATAATGTTTTTATGTTTGTAACTACTCCAATACAATTATGACATATATTTAACTACTACAATGAAATCATGACATATATTTAACTACTAGAATGAAATCATGACAAATATTTAACTACTCCAATGACATCATGACATATATTTAACTACTCCAATGAAATCATGACATATATTTAACTACTCCAAAGAAATCATGACATATATTTAACTACTCCAATGACATCATGACATATTAACTACTCCAATGACATCATGACATATATTTAACTACTCCAATGAAATCATGACAAATATTTAACTACTCCAATGAAATCATGACATATATTTAACTACTAGAATGAAATCATGACATTTATTTAACTACTAGAATGAAATCATGACATATATTTAACTACTAGAATGAAATCATGACATATATTTAACTACTCCAATGAAATCATGACATATATTCAACTACTCCAATGAAATCATGACAAATATTTAACCTCTCCAATAAAATCATGATCATGTTTAATTAACTTCTCCAATAAAATCATGATCAAGCTTTCTGATTTTCCATTGAAAATGTGAACCTCCATCCTACTGACTTTTTATTTTTGGACAGAATACCTACCTTGATTTGGATATCTGGCTTATCCAGGACGATAGCGTCTCTCTGGCAGTGGGATTGATTGGTCTTCTTCACAATTGCTATTAGGTTTACATCAAAGTGACACCCCTCTTTGACATGAGCAAAGTACTCGTCAAACGGCACTTTCATCTTCAGTGTGACAACTGAAACATCATTAAGCAGACTGCTACATTACACATTTTTCAGAAAATGATCTTTGTCTGGCCAACAGACTTGTCTTTTAAACAAAATTTAAAGAATCCTCCATTTCTGTTTGATGGAGACAGAAATATCAATCCAGCAGGAGGTTTGTAATTAATTTTTCTCCACGATTCTCAACGTAAATGATATATGGTAAAACCTGTAATCAATATGGACCAATATGTGGTTATGCCACCTTGATTTGTAAGACCACTATGGGTGACAGTTTATTTTTAAGTATGAAGTCTTTAACTGGAGGAATAATATAATAGATTGTCTGGAGGTTCAACCCTAATTTGAGAGATAGGACCATTAATGGCGACAGACTCACCTTTGACCTCTGTCTTGAGTAAAATTTCTCTGGTAAGTAGACATTAAGAGGGCATCAGTGATAGTCCTGCCTTTGTCTGGAAGATCAACGTTTTTCTGGTAGGACCTCTACAGGGCAAACAGACAGACCTGCCTTGTTTGGAGGTAGTAGGACCAATACAGGGCAAACAAACAGACCTGCCTTGTCTGGAGGTAGTAGGACTGCTACAGGGCAAACAGAAATACCTGCCTTGTCTAGAGGAAGTAGGACAACTGCAGGACAAGCAGACAGACCTGCCTTGTCTGGAGGCAGTATGACCACTACAGGACAGACAGATAGACCTGCCTTGTCTGGAGGAAGTAGGACTGCTACAGGACAAACAGACAGACCTGCCTTGTCTGGAGGTAGTAGGACCACTACAGGACAAACAGACAGACCTGCCTTGTCTGGAGGAAGTAGGACCACTACAGGACAGACAGACAGATCTGCCTTGTCTGGAGGAAGTAGGACTGCTACAGGACAGACAAACAGATCTATCTTGTCTGGAGGAAGTAGGACCACTACAGGACAGACAGACATACCTGCCTTGTCTGGAGGAAGTAGGACCACTACAGGACAAACAGACAGACCTACCTTGTCTAAAGGTAGAAGGACCTCTATAGGACAGACAGACAAGCCGTTGTCTAGCGGTAGAAGGACCTCTATAGGACAGACAGACAAACCTTTGTCTCAAGGTCAAAGGACCACTACAGGATAAACAGACCTACATTAGTATGAAGGTAGTAGGACCACTACAGGGCAAACAGACAGACCTGCCTTGTCTGGAGGTAGTAGGACCACTACAAGGCAGACAGACCTACATCAGTATGAAGGTAGTAGGACCACTACAGGACAGACAGATTTACCTTAACTTGAAAGTAGTAGGACCACTACAGGAGAGACAGACAGACCTTGTCTGAAGGTAAAAGAACTACTACAGGACAGACAGACAGACCTGCCTTGTCTGGAGGAAGTAGGACCACTACAGGGCAGACAGACAGACCTTGTCTGAAGGTAAAAGAACTACTACAGGACAGACAGACAAACCTTTGCCTGGCGCGATGACCTCCATGACTTTTACAACACTGATAGGTGGACAGCAGACTCCTGTGTAGTAGGTACTCCTCAGACTGATCTGGCCCCCAACCGTACGTTCTTCTTTAGACTTGTTCTCAATGGTGCATTCCCACTCAATCGGTTCACCATAATCATTTTTCTCTTTCAAGATGGTCTTAAAGAAAACATCCTGTAATACAACAGTCAAACTAATTATACATGTTTCACATAGACAGGTTTGCAAGTGTGTTACTTGCTTGGGAGAAAATTGTACAGATTCAGTTCATCACTTGAATTTGCTTATGTGAAGAAAACAAGAGACCCAATGGGCTTGCATCGCTCACCTGGTATTAATCTCACACTTGTAATCTTAAAAACAGACTAAAATACAGCTACAGGCAGAATATCAGTGTTTGATTCATAAGAACCTATTAAAAGATTGACGCCTGTGACCTTGAATTAGGTTGAATGTGGGTCCAGGTCATTCATTTGAACAAACTTGGTAGTCCTTCATCCCAGCATGCTACAGGCCCAATTTCAGTACCCTAGACCTTTTGGTTATTGAGAAGAAGTTGTTTGAAGTTTTTAAGACATTTGACCCCTGTCACCTTGACAGTTGGTCAAGGTCATTTATTTGAACAAACTTGGAAGCCCTTCATCCCAGCATGCTACAGGCCCAATATCAGTACCCTGGGCCTTTTGGTAATTGAGAGGAAGTCATTTGAATATTTAAACATATTTGACCCCTGTGACCTTGAAAGTGGGTCAAGGTAATTAATTTGAACAAACTTGGTAGCCCTTCATCCCAGCATGCTACAGGCCCAATATCAGTACCCTGGGCCTTTTGGTAATTGAGAGGAAGTCATTTGAATATTTAAACATATTTGACCCCTGTGACCTTGAAAGTGGGTCAAGGTAATTCATTTGGACAAACTAGGTAGTCCGTCATCCCAGCATGCTACTGGCCAAATATCATCAGCCTGGGCCTCTTGGTAGATATTTGTCTACACCTCTACCCTATAACTATCGACATGTAAACCCCCGTACCTCACTGTCCTCAGTGTGGTTGTAGATATTTGTCTACACTTCTACCCTATAACTATTGACATGTAAACCCCCGTACCTCACTGTCCTCAGTGTGGTTGTAGATATTTGTCTACACTTCTACCCTATAACTATCGACATGTAAACCTCCGTACCTCACTGTCCTCAGTGTGGTTGTAGATTTTTGTCTACACTTCTACCCTATAACTATCAACATGTAAACCCCTGTACCTCACAGCCCTCCTCTGGTTTATCGTAGATGTCCCGCCTGGAGCTTGTTTGGTTTGCCCTCAGCACTGCTGCTCTCTCTGCTGCAGAGTCTATAATAATAATGTCATGACAGATAATTGAATATTTCACACGGCACGAGAAAGTGAATATTTTATGTCAGTGACAGTACGGTAGGTTATTTATAATGGTGACTAACCTTCGGTGTACTTGTAATCAGATGTGACATCCTCCCACTTCCTATCATAACAAGGAGACCTGACAAAGCCCTTGTCCTTGCAAGGCTTACACACAGGCCTGTTTGTGCTGATATGGAAACCAACCCTGTACAACAAGTCAAAAATCTTACATGATTATAACCGGTTGATAAAGTTTCTATTTGATAAATACAAAAGCTTTTTCCTATTTATATTTATAAATTCCTTTAAAAAAAATCAGTATTACCAGTATATAATACAATACAAACAAATTTACCCCAACATTCTACAGTATACTGCTTTTATACATCAGTTTGATTTTGCAATCAGCTCAGCCCATAATCGTTATTTTAGAATATAGGGTGTGTTTCATTTAACAGGAAAATAAAATAGCATTCGTTGAAATTTCTATTGCAGTGCAATAGACAAGAGTGGGCTTATTACCAGGCATGGACTTATCACCAGAAATGGGCTTATTACCAGACATGGGCTTATTACCAGACATGGGCTTATTACAAGAAATGGACTTATTACCAGACATGGGCTTATTACCAGGCATGGGCTTATTACCAGACATGGGCTTATTACCAGACATGGGCTTATTACCAGGTATGTGCGTATTACCAGACATGGGCTTATTACCAGACATGGGTGTATTACCAGACATGGGCTTATTACCAGGCATGGGCTTATTACCAGGTATGTGCTTATTACCAGACATGGGCTTATTACCAGACATGGGATTATTACTTGACATGGGCTTATGACCAGGCATGTGCTTATATCCTGATAAATATCTTACACTAACAAGTGCATCTTATAACTACTAGAAAGTCATCCAATCAGACCTAAGCTCAACCAAAAGGTGAACAGTTTTTTGAAGGAAAATATAATCCTGGGCCCAGTTGTTCAAAACTATCGTTAAGCTAACGATGTTGTTAAATTTAACATGTCGCTAACCATGGTTTAACAACATCGTAAGCTTAACGACAGGCTGATCAGCTGTGACTTTTGGTCATGTGAGCAATTGAACTAAACCGACCTAAAGAACATTAGGTAAAGGTTAAGATAAATTAGCCATTTAGAATGCATGGAGGCCACATTGTGCATTTTTATATCCATTAAAAACCTGTAAACAGTCAGTCACCGGCAAACATTTTATAAATTCAAATGAAATTAATCCAATATAACTAAAACTGTAGCTTCTATGTCTGTACTTACTGATTATTTTTAAAGTTTTTTCTATATGACCCATCTTCCTGTTCAAACCAGTCAACTCTGTCTCCATTCACCTCAGCAAAGATGAATGGGCCATCATAAGGCATATTTATCTCACCACGCTTGATGGCCAGGACCGGAAAAGGACCACAGCAGTATATGCCTGGAGAAAGATGAAACAGTATCATTGTAGATTTCCACAGAAATTTATGAGATTGTTATTGCATTTCTGTATCACTTATACCCATGCTCATTTTCTCAATCAATTAAGCTGACCTCACCCATACCCCCACCCCCACCCACCCACATCTAAAATGTATGAGCAGTAGGCATAAACCTAGTATGTCCCTCACAGAAAAGTTGCTAGCCATCCACAATTTTCAGTTTACTGGCCAGACAACCACCTACATAATAATATTCCACTAGAAAACTACCATGTTATCCATGAAGGGGTGGGGAGGGGCATGAGTCTTTCTTAAACAGTCATCAGCAATATCAATTTAATTTGCATCTATGAATGTGCATGTGTTTATCAAAAGAAAAGAAATTTGACATACAAAACATATGGAAGCAGGGGTATCAGTGAAGCCCACTCTTTCAGTTGAATCAAGTTTGGATAATACATGTATGATAAATTACCACCACTAGTTTCCTGAGGCGTGGCATCACATGCCTGCCAGCCCCCGTAATCCTTGTCAACAATGTCCGGTCTGGCCATCCAGGCATCATTCCACACATGGAAGTTCCTATCATCATAGAATAAAGTAATAAAACCCAAATTAGTACTCAGGTAGGTTCTTTGACTGAAAACATACACAGCTGTCAACCAGGAGGATAAGTTATGGTTTTAATGAATATGACATTATTTTTTCAACTCTGACCCCATGCCATGACCCCAAAGAAATTTGCAGTAACTGTATGTAAAAAGTATAGGAGATTTATGCCCTTGATGCACATTAGGACAGAACGGTGAACAGAACACTGATCAAGGCCGTTCTGGTCTTTCATTTGTTACTTTAAATATTTTGAATATGGGCCTCTCCCTCTGCCCCAAGTGGGGCAATGCCTGTCATTTATATTCAATATTGAGTTGTCTTGGCCAAGCAATGCTCCAAATGAAATAATGTAGATATTCATTCACTTGTACTTGGTTCTTTGGGTCAGGAGATATGACAATTTTTTGTAGATTTCGTTTTTGCTTGGTTTTAATTATATTATTATCACGGGAGTCAATTAAAAGTGTTAAAATTAAATAAAAAAGTTTATAAGAAATTATTACGTACACTGCACTAATCTTTACCAAGATATCAATCTCTCACCAAACTCGAGGTTTATTAGAAATTATTGCTCCACCAATCTTTAACAAGATATCTTACCAAACAGAATCATTACAGAGATGCTCCACTCTTTCCCCATCCATATCATACACTGTGTCAATGGTCATACTTCCGTCAGTGTCGTGAGCCGAGGCAAAGTTCGTGACACTCCTAGCAGGTATTCCCAGGGCTCGGCAACCTATCAGGAAAACATTGTAAACACTCAATAAACTGACCTATCTACAAAGGAAACATTCTTAATACTAAATATACACTCTACAATCTACTCAGAAAACATTAGATACTAAATATACACTCTATAATCTACTCAGAAAACATTGGATACTAAATATAGACTCTACAATCTACTCAGAAAACATTAGATACTAAATATAGACTCTACAATCCACTCAGAAAACATTGGATACTAAATATACACTCTTCAATCTACTCAGAAAACATTGGATACTAAATATACACTCTACAATCTACTCAGAAAACATTGGATACTAAATATACACTCTATAATCTACTCAGAAAACATTGGATATTAAATATACACTCTTCAATCTACTCAGAAAACATTGGTTATGTATTATGGTATATATAAAGATAATCTCTTTACTATGCTTGGGAAGCGGTTATGATCAGGTCGGGGGAAACCACTAACTTGCGTATAATACGCAAACTCGCCTTTTATACGCAAAATGGGGTATGAATTTGTTACTAAAAATAGCCAAAATCACTTTAATAGTAACTTTTTCAAATTGTTTGTCCAAGTCGCATTTATTTAGTCATGAAATATCATACAAATGCAAACATAAAATGTATATCCATGTAGGAAAGTACCAAAAATAGATGCAATACTTCCAGTAAAGTTACATCAAGTTTCTAAGTAGCCAATGCTTTCAGTAAACATCTTTTAGCAAAACATTGTTTACCAATTGTCGTAAATAAATGCGATTTTTAATAATATATTGCAAAAGTTACTGTTAAAGCGATTTGGGTTATTTATAGTAACAAATCCATACTACAACTGATGTATAATAGGCGAGTTTGCGTATTATATGCAATTGCTGGTTTTCCCCAACCTGATGATAAATATATTTTTTATGATTTGAGGGCTTTTTCCTCGTATACAGTAAACGTACATGTCGTCAAAACGCCCGAGAAGACCCAGCACTGGCCATAACACACCGGCTCCTTGGTCTTAAAGTACTCCTCCAGGATGGGCACACTCCCCGTCCAATTGGAGGGAGAATTACCACCGTCATAATCCCCGGACCAGTTACCGACCAAAATACCACTGTTGTCATTGGAGTTCACCTGAAAAAGTTGTCATGTGATTTTGTGACAGTTTTTGTTCCAGCACCCTGTTACTATAGATACAATATTTTGTTAAACAGTTTCAGTTCAATATGAATATATACCTTGATGCTTAAATATTTAAGTATCGTTAAAACAAAATTCTCATTTTGAAACTCGTTAAGTACAAAATGGGCAACACTAGACGGGTGTACAAGTGTGAAACTTGATTTGTCTGTGAAACTACTGTTAAAGCATAATATTTCGTTGGGGATTTAATTTCGTTTATTTCGTTAGAGCACCACGAAATATAATCCCAACGAAATTTTAAGCACACAAGATATAGACTAAACGTAAATATGAAATAAATTATTACTTTAATTACAAACCATGCTGTATTCACATTTAGACAGAAGTCATGATAAATGGTGTTTGTAAAACAGTGATATAATTACATCGCTCTTTGTATGCAAACTATATAGAGCATGACGGATATCTCGCCCGGTCTTACCTGTACCTCGCAAGCCGTGCGGTGAAAACAAGTTGTATAGAAATAAAAACAAAAAACACACTAAATATTCCCTTTTTAAAAATAATCCAATTCAACAAAAAGGGTGTATAGTGTAAATAAAGCAGTTAACTTTGGATCAATTTCCGGCACGGCATGCCCCGATTTTGAAACTTTTTCAATGGAGACACAGGGAAATAAACTTCTAATGCAATAGACAAACTATTGCTTAAATGATTAAAACACACGTCTTCCTTCTGAAGTAATACTTACATTAAAATCGACATGATTTTATCACACGATGTGTCAAGGTAACCCTGAATATTTATTAAATGCATGCTCGTTTTCTTATCAGAATTTGTTTTATAAAATGTTGGTAGGCCTAATTATTTCCATTTTAGATAGCTATTAACTACCACACATGTTTGTTTAGACTAAATTATATGACCATTGAGCGATGGTCGATCTATAGTTTTCCACTGACTGGGGGGAAGCGTGGTGTGAAAATTTCACCTGGAGTGGACAGGTGATCACCTCGGGGGATGAACAGTAAGACAGACCTATTGTCTTATTGTCCAGGTGTCAAACAGAAAAAAAGTACTGGGTTTTAAAATATTGATTCCACGAAATATAATCTCAAAGAATTTGTCCCAAAACAAAAACAACGAAATTTAACCCCAACGAAAAATATATGCTTTCAGTAATTTAATCAGTCAGCGTTGCTGATTTGATGGGTCAGTATGACTTATTTGATCTGTAACTTTTCCTTTTTGAAATGATCAGTGCAATATATTTAATTTGTTAGTTTTACATGTTTGACTGGTCAGTGTGACTTATTTGACTGGTCAGTGTGACTTATTTGACTTGTCAGTATGTGACTTTTTTGACTGGTTAGTGTGACTTATTTGACTGGCCAATGTGACTTATTTGACTGTGACTTATTTGACTGGTCAGTGTGACTTACTTGACTGGTCAGTGTGACTTACTTGACTGGTCAGTGTGACTTACTTGACTGGTCATTATGACTTATTTGACTGGTCAGTATGACTTATTTGCCTGGTCAGTGTGACTTATTTGACTTGTCAGTGTGACTTATTTGACTGGTCAGTATGTGACTTATTTGACTGGTCAGTGTGACTTATTTGACTGGTTAGTGTGACTTATTTGACTGGTCAGTATGTGACTTATTTGACTGGTCAGTATGTGACTTATTTGAATAGTTAGACTTGTTATGGTGGCTGATTCATTTTGTCTGTTATACTTACAAGACTGGTCAGTCTCCTGACTACATCAACAGGGTTGCCTCGTGCTTTCATTGGAAAGTTCTTTCTGTCTAACAAGTCAAAAACACAGTCCAGCACTGGGTTTTCGAACTAGAAATAAAGTGAAAATATGTACTGCATAGTTATACTTGGCTTCTACTTTGTCTTTCGTCACTTCCACTTACAGGTACAGAAGCAGCAACAACAAGTTTTTCTCACTTGAGAGTTACTTCCCTTGTCAAGGTATTTATCTCTTACTTTGATGCGGTGCACTTATAATTCCTGGAAAGTAACATCTGTAAATTGTAGGATAGGTAGTGTGAAAGTCCTGTTTTTTATTCTGGTAACTTTCATGTGCTTATGTTAATTTTTGTTTTCAAATACTCAAATCAAACATAAAGCTATAATTCTGTAAAATGCCTGGAGAGAGTTTTATGGAATACTTTTGTAGAAAAGTACTTTTATATTAAATATTTCATGATAGTGACAATATGGTAACAACATATTTTAACTTCAGAGCTGATGGCACTTTTTAACTCAAGATTGAGTGATACCCATTCTGTTAACAGAAATCCATGTACAGAGTAGGATTGGAGAATTTAACATAGAGGAACAGATTTTCTTCTCTACACACCTGGCCAAAGTTCCAGACCCTGCCACTGAATCGGTTGCTGTTCCCACAGAAAATCTTGCCAGTTTCGTTGAGCACATATTCTTCCAGCAAGTGGTTGTCATGGTGATACACCTGGTCATCTGTTTGACATAACTTATACGGTCAATTGTCAACATGTCAACTTGTGTGGCCATATGCTGAACAAAAAACCTCAAATGGTCACTAGACACTTATTTGTCATCATTTAGTATTATACAAATCATGGTCTAGATTCTAGACACTCACCATAGCACCTACTCTAGTGACCCATAGAACATATCTGCTGTCAGCCGTGATTCTTCCTACACATGTACACTCATGGTTTAAATATTACTTCATGACTGTTCAACATAATTTCAAATTCTGTACGAATTCTCAAAGCATTATCTTTTAACTTGATTTGAGTATTGTGCATGTCTGTATTCTTAGGAAATATGCACAGACTCTAAGTTTACCTGAGCATTGGCATTGTACAAATACAGTCAAACTTCGATATTTCAAACTCTATCTGGAAATATTCCACCCATAAAAGTTTGATATATAAGGGGAAAAAATCCGGACTTTGCTATAGCTTTGCCACATCAAGAAATTTGAATCTTCAAAACTTGATTTATTGAAGTTTGACTGTTCATGTTAAATTCGATTTTTAATCTACACAAAAATATAAATACTTTTATCTTAGTTAAATATGTACAGACTTCTTCTCACCTTTGAACCTCTGACCTGAGCACCTCACTCATCTGTGCAATTCATGCACCAACCACTCATCTTTAATTTACACCTGAGACTGACAACTCACCTTTAATTTACACCTGAGACTGACTACTCACCTTTAATTTACACCTGAGACTGACTACTCACCTTTAATTTACACCTGAGACTGACCACTCACCTTTAATTTATGTCTGACTCATAAACCACTCACCTTTAATTTACACCTGACACATATAACACTCACCTTTAGGTTACACCTGACACATAAACCACTCACCTTTATGTTACACCTGACACATAAACCACTCACCTTTAAGTTACACCTGTCACACAAACCACTCACCTTTAACTTACACCTGAGACTGACTATTCACCTTTAATTTACACCCGAGACTGACAACTCACCTTTAATTTACACCCGAGACTGACCACTCACCTTTAATTTACACCTGACACATAAACCACTCATCTTTAATTTACACCTGAGAATGACTACTCACCTTTACACCAGGGGTTAAACAGCATGTAGATGAGTTGTGAGTGGGCGTAGACTTTACACACTGACGTTTGGTCTGGCTTGGGAGACTTGCTGAAGGCCCTCACCTGGAAACACCACTTGCCTACATAACAGGTGGGCGGGGTGAAGATTTTGAGTTTCACAGTGTTCCCTTTCTTCTCTTTAATGGCGGCACCCCATTTACCAGGCAAGTCTTCCTTGGAGAGAATAATCTCTACCTTGGTACCATTGATGATGGAGGGAGATTTACCTGTAGATTGATGGGGTTATAAACTGATTACACTGTATCAATAAGCCATCACCATTAACCCTTTCACCCCTATGTAACTTTAGTAGACTCTGCCATGCATTGATATAGATGAGTCCATTATGGTCTACATTGGTGAAAGGGTTAACAATAATTATCCCAAGTTCGACTGAATCCTATAAATATTTTGAGAAGTTAACGTCCACTAATTTGTAAAAGATGGAAGGACTGACAGTCAGAGAGATACACTGAAAACAGTGTCCCTTGCTTATTGAAGAATCAGGAACGAATCAAGGAATTTTCACTTAAAGCAATTTACCAGTCGCAAATACAAGTTTCATGTCCTCCTTGCTTTCATCAAATTTGCGCTCAAAGTCGATGTCGATGTCAAAGGGCTGACCACGTCGGACGACCAGACTAGGGGCCTTGTCAGCATCTTTCTCCGTGAGGTCATATTCGTTTGTGTGATGGGCTCTAGAATTGTCCTGGATATTGAACCGGACAGCCTTCACTGTTAGGAGCTTCCTAACCACCTCGTTAACCTCTGTAAGACAAAGAGTGGGACGGGTGGATCGTAATTACTTACGATAATGAATCAATGCCTCCATCCGATGTGGAGTGGAAGAGTTTCATTCTTTTGTTGGTACATATACATACCAACTTACACATCTAGGTAGACTTAAATATCTGCAACAAATCTGCTTATGCACTGGACATTAATGCTGATCATGATAATAAATACTTGTATGTTTTGTCGACAATTGATAAAATTTATGTTTCAGAGAACTAAATAACTTTGATTTAGAATGAACACTGAATCAGCAGAGTCGCAACTTAAACTTATTCAACCCTGACTGAAATTTCATGACTGACTATTCCAACCTTTGAGTTGGAAGAGTTCAAATGTATCTCCAGGGGTGAATGAGTTAAATATTCCACATAGTTACCATCATCAGAAGAGTCCTCGTCATCGCGTTCTGGGTCCACAGGTTTCTCATCTTTGTCACTGTAGACATGCATACACCGACCCCTCAACCAGTCTTGAAAAAAGAGAGGAATGCGTTGACGTCTGGCATGGCCCCGTCTCCTCCTGTTGCCTATACCTACATTGTACCTTCCCATGCATAACACAGGCTGCAAAGACAAAGAGATCCGCATTTCTTACATAAGACTTCAGTGTTTTTGTTTAATTAGTTTTACAACAGACTGTTCCTATATGAATTTGTATTGAAATTGGGAACATATTCTCCGTTTCTGGTCATTTTGGGAAAATAAGACACTTTTGGCTGTAAAACTGAGCAAAATAAATTCACTGTCAGTCAAATTTTTCCTGATAGCTCTACATTGTATCTCTACAGCATGAGTTGCTGACTTTAACACTTAGTAATCACTGTGAAACAGCCAGAGGTCAAGACAATTAAGACACTGAAAATGTTGTTTGGCTTCAAGTCTCTCCATTAAATTTCTCCAGATCATTAAAAATTGCGAAAATTGAAAAAAGTGTGCCAGAAACCAGAAATTGGGCTGGAGCATAGAACATCAGCTTGGTCCTGGTCTCAGTGTAATGATACTTTTAGACTTACCAGATCCTCAACCTGAAAATCTAATCAGCACTCTTAGTGCAATACTTAGAAATTTCAGATAATTCGAATGATTGCAGTAACTTCCAAAATCCTCTTTAAATAAAACCTGTCAGTCATGATAGACATTAATGTAAGTTGTGAAGGAATGAAATGCAAATTTGGGAAGAAGCACCCTTGGGTGAAGGGGAACCTATTTTGTATAAACTGTGGTTTTAAACCCCTGTTGGACCAGAAAACAAATCTAACCTGATAATTAATTTAAGGAATGTGACACACAATAGGTCAACTACATTAAGTCAAAATCTCAATTGCCCAAAAAGTTTATATTTTTTTCTTGCACATAATCCCAAATAAAGTCAAAAAGTACAAATGTACACCTTGTGCATAGGTATGTAATAAAAGAATGTTTGTAATGACAGAAAATACATCTGACAACCTGCAAATCATAGGTTCTGATTTTTAACTCCAGATTTCTAACCACTGTGTTTCATCAATTCATGTAACTATATGTAATCTATGGAGTTGATTCAAAGAACTGCATTTCTTTTTAATCTTTTGCACACCATAAAAGTTTTGTGATTTGTTGTTTTCAGAATTCAATTTCATAATATCAAAATAAATCTATATTTAATTAAAAAGTGTTTGTGTTCAAGCTGATACATTTAAGGATTATTTAGCAGTTTAATTTATAGCTTTTTAAAATTTTGATACCTTATTTGAGTATTCAATAAGACTAGCAGTGCCATATAGCTGGGATTTGAAAAGGGCAGGGCGATGACCTTGAAACAGTACATTTTAGTGTTTTCATTTGATTCTGATTTTTGTGTTTACTTTCAACTATTTGATTCATGATTTAAATAAGGTGATTTAGAGTCCATGACAACACAATTTATTACATTTGATTTTAATTTCATACACAATAATACGAGATACGATTGCAACCATTTGCCAACATCGCAATTGTACATGCATCAATATGGACAGCTGACAGGAAAAGGGTCATTATTTCAAGTATGTATTATAACGAGGGAATACACAGTCATTTACTGAAAACCTCTAGTCTTATAAGGGATCAATTTTACTGGCAGTAGGCTCATCTCGGAACTACACCGTCTTCCCAAGTTGTATTTGTATACTAACTAGGTTTGAAGATGTTCTGTGTAACCGCTGTGTGTCAGCATCATCTAGGATGATAAACTCTTTATAACTTTTAATTATAATAATAATTCAAGGTTCTCATATACAGCTTTATCACAACCTAGTTCGTAGGTCGTCTCAAAGCGGTTTACAAATTATTATCCATGGTTATAGGGCTTTTGCAACCAGCCAATACCTTTCTCAACTCCCGGAGCTACCATTTTCGGCGCTAACAGCTAGCATTCAACAATTCTAGCACTACCCAATCACATACTCATTTACAGCTGAGTAGACTGGAACAAGCAAAGTAAAGTATCTTGCTCAAAGATACAACATAGTGCTGTGCCGAATTTGACTCGAACCCTGATCAACTCTTCGGTCACGAGCCAGGCGTCCTACCACCAGACTACCATATGCCTCCTATGGTACGGTATGGTGTATATGATGTGTATGATGTTAATCAATGATAACTTGCTTTATTAGGAGTACACGTACAATATTGACTCTACTGATCTCGCTGTTGCTTCATCGTCAAACTATTGTACTTAGGTATTGAAACTTCATGGAACATTTTAGTTCTTGGACAATGTAAATCAACAAACATTTAACCAGGAAGTCAATAAACACTTCACAGTGGACTGGATCCAAACACCTGTGAACTTTGATCGCAATAATTAACACAGTTTTCTCCATAACAGACCTAAGCCAACCAACTTGTATAACAAATTAAAACGTTAAAATAAGTACTGTGGTTCAACAGTTTCGGCGCTGGATGGAAAAGGGCATAACCATTTGGTCAGGGGCAAACATATATAACAGGGTATCTGGTGTTAGTGTTGACCGACTTACATAGGCCAAGGGAAGACACCCATTCATCATTATTACGCTTGTACAATGTACATGTATTTTATACTGTGAAACAAAAAGAGCCTCAGATTGACTGTGTCCCTATAAATGACAGCCGTCTGGGGTTTAATTGCTACTGATGACCCACATCTATACAATAACATGATAGTAAAGGGAATATACCTCCAACAGTTTATTTTAAACTAGTTTGGTCAGTGACATATTTCAAGAATGTAATACTCCGCCATCCCAAAATGTATGTGTAGATCATATATGGAAATTCCAGGTGAAGTAATATAGGAGACAAGCCACAGACAAACTTTTCAGATGGTAAGAAAAATGAAATAAAAAATATATATAATATGGGAAGCAAGGGGTTGGAATACAAAATACGAATAGAGAGACTCAACCTAGAGTCCCTTTAGGTTCGGTAATTGGAACACAGAAAACAGAATACGGATAGAGAGACTCGACCTACAGTCCCTTTAGGTTTGGTAGTACATATGGAACACAGAAAACAGAATACGGATAGAGAGACTCGACCTAGTCCCTTTAGGTTCGGTAGTACATATGGAATACAGAAAACAGAATACAGATAGAGAGACTCGACCTACAGTCCCTTTAGGGTTGGTAGTACATATGGAACACAGAAAACAGAACACAGATAGAGAGACTCGACCTACAGTCCCTCTAGGCTCGGTAGTACATATTGGAACACAGAAAACAGAATACAGATATAGAGACTCGACCTACAGTCCCTTTAGGTTCGGTAGTACACATGGAACACAGAAAACAGAATACAGATATAGAGACTCGACCTACAGTCCCTTTAGGTTTGGTAGGACATATGGCATACAGAAAACAGAATACAGATAGAGAGACTCAACCTACAGTCTCTTTAGGTTTGGTAGTACATATGGAACACAGAAAACAGAATACAGATAGAGAGACTCGACCTACAGTCCCTCTAGGTTCGGTAGTACATATTGGAACACAGAAAACAGAATACAGATAGAGAGACTCGACCTACAGTCCCTTTAGGTTCGGTAGTACATATGGAACACAGAAAACAGAATACAGATAGTGAAATTCTACGTAGTCTGTACCCTAAGGTTCAGTGAACTAATGATTCATCAAAACAGCAGTTCAATGGGATCATCTCTCTGAATCACGATAAAATCTTTATCGATTTCCAAAAAAGTCTGTCAATAATGTGAAACTTATACAAAATGCACATACATTTACATGGTACAGCTTTTTCTGTAAGTGATTAGTTGAAATTGGTCAGGTCATACAATAACATTACAATATCCTTGATCCTTTTTGTTGAGAATTATAACTATTAAGTTGTGTACAATATTTCAAAGAAATCAACCAATAAATCTGTAAGATATGCTGCAACTGCTGGAAGGAGCTAGCCATCATTTTGTCCCAGCTATGATATTTGTACGGCAGAGGTCAAGAGAATCTGTGATTGGCTACACATCCTTAACCACTCACTGGCCTTGGTTTGACCGGCTGGACTACAGGTTGGGGGGCATCATCCTTCTTCTCCTCCTTAGGGACCACTATTTTCTTGGGATCCTCATTCATCCATGTGTCTGTGACTGCATCATAGTAACTCATTGTCACTGTCTTTAAGTCTTACACAAGCAAACAAACCTCAGAACAACTTGTGAAGGATAACACAGCAACTTACTACACAGCAAATCCCAGTAAACAAAGTCTCTAACTAATCTCCAATGTAAAATCAATGGTCTTTGAGAGAAATAAAAGAATTTCTACAGTGAAAATCAAAGCACAAAAATCTCAGTCCAATAAACTAATTAACCCTTAAAAGGAAATGGAGTTGTCATCTGCACGACAACAACTTGACCAAGAGGGAAAAACAATATACATGATCATGAGTTGACCGTCAATAGGAAGTACAATTCATGATGCACAAGCTGGTACTGAGTAGCCTGTAAGAATGTAACACCATTTACTTCATACACTAACATTATAACAGCCAACTATAGAGACATTAACATTATAACAGTCAACTAGAGACATTACCATTATAACAGCTAACGAGAGACACTAACATTGTAACAGTCAACTAGAGACACTAACATTATAACAGTCAACTAGAGACACTAACATTATAACAACCAACTAGAGACACTAACATTATAACAGTCAACTAGAGACACTAACATTGTAACAGTCAACTAGAGACACTAACATTGTAACAGCCAACTAGAGACACTAACATTATAACAGCCAACTAGAGATACTAACAATGTAACAGTCAACTAGAGACACTAACACTATAACAGTCAACTAGAGACACTAACATTATAACAGCCAACTAGAGACACTAACATTATAACAGCCAACTAGAGACACTAACATTATAACAGCCAACTAGAGACACTAACATTATAACAGCCAACTAGAGACACTAACATTATAACAGCCAACTAGAGACACTAACATTATAACAGCCAACTAGAGACACTAACATTATAACAGCCAACTAGAGACACTAACATTATAACAGCCAACTAGAGACACTAACATTATAAC